AATATGACGTCTCTGAAATATTATGGGGGATCTCTACTCCAAATATAATCGGACCAAATCACCCGTGTTTATCACTAAAACAAACCATTCGAAGTGCATAAAGTGAATCAAGGAATGTAATGGAGAGATACAAAATTTTTTCAAGCCGCACTAACATGATATAGAGACGGCTCATAGACCGCTGATGAACTGCTGATAGAAAAAGGAGTATTTTGGGGAAAAACCAAAAGCAAGCAATCCTTTTTCTTGGGTAAAAACTCAATCATATTCTAGGCAGGAATTCTCGCCTTTCTACAATGCGCGAGAAAAAACAACAGAAGAGCTTACCCCAGGTAGGACATCAATGTATGCTCAGACAGTCAAGCGACACTTTAGGCGCTTATGAGTCCAAAGTTATTGTCGAGACTCGTCTAGGAATGCCAGGTCAAGGCGCCATAACAAACAATTAAAAAGCCGATGAACTAGCAAGGCAAGGATCATTGGAATCCTCTACGCTGTACTCTAGCTGTATCTTTAACCAAAACAATTTTTATAAAATCTGTTGATGATCTAAAATAGCAATTAATTAATAAACTAACAAAGATTAAATTTAATCTGCATTACCGCTATGTAATGCTATAACAATCTCCATTCCCCTGGTTTTCAACCATGCAGCGTTGCTTTCTAAATTAGTAAACACAAAACCATCAAAAGGTTAGTCATCTCGATTGTAAAATAACAAAATCAGATTATATAACTACAGGATGTAATAATTGACATCATAACATTGACTATTTAATATGCGATAACCGAACTGAAGTGCGAAATTTAGTCCTTGGACTGCTAAAATGAAATGTTTAAATTCAATTTAATGTCATATGTGTAATAACATATTACTTGATAGGCACATAAAGAGAGCAGATTTTTATACGTTTCTTCTTCTTACAGTGCCATACTCTATATAGAGCGTCGGCTACCTCTCGCATGTACTTGTGATGTGTGTCATCAGTGTTTCACAAGTACACGGGACCTACAGTTTATTGCCGAATCCGAACGGCACTATTTGAGAGGCTGTACAAGGCAAATATACTCAAGGTGGTTTGCCATTGCCTTCCTTGAGGTGGCGGCTCATTGGTCGCTCTATTTAGATAAATAAATATTTTTATTTAAATAAATAAAGCGACCGTACTGGCTGGGGATCGAACCCAGTCTGCTCCGCAGATCGACACACTAACGCTGGAGCTACGGCCGACCACGAAGTTTCTAATATAACATAATATAGTAAGAAAAAATTAAGCTTGGGTTAGAGCAAAATTTTTGATGGAAAAAAAAACTAAAAATATTTGTTAAGAGCATACATAGTGCATGTTTACTGAATGTAGTCTTTAATTCCACATCGAATATACATTTTTCAATATTGCGTATGTATGTGTAAGCTAAAGAAGGCTACCCCAGGCTACAAAATATCGATATATTTTGAAGCATTTTCAATTTTCACCGTCTTCAATACACTCTATATCCCTATAGCTATGGCACGGCATATAAATCACACGGCAGGCTAACTCTCTTTGGCGGGAACGCTACGCGCATATCGTCGCGCACGCCGCCATTAGGGTTTCCATCAACAGAAAGTAACCAGTGTCGTAGTTTCTTTCATCGACTGCGCACACTTTCGGCTGATTCGAGTCAGTAGCGTACGGATTAATTTATTTTGTTTATTTCTTGAGTTATATTTTATAGTTGTTGTTTTATTTTTGTTTATTGTGTTATATATTTGGTTTTTCTAGTTTATTTTCGTTTCTTGTGTTATATAATTTATTTTTGTTTTTCTGAACATTTTTAAATCGCTAATTTTTACGTGTTTTTAAAATGCCTGGGCTGTTGACTGGGCGAGATTAAACTGCAATAAAAGTTTCTTTCTGTTTCCTAGAGATCCGATTAGGTATGTATATACATATGTGATTCTTGTGATTAATTATTTTAACATATTTTAGTTAAAAAAAACAGTAGTATACATATTAGGACATATAGCTAAATAGAAAGATCTAATTAAAAATATACAAGTTCAGCATCTATATTAAATGTTAACAAACTTATATACAGGGTGAGTCTTAAATAAGTGCAAATATTTTCAGGGCTGGCAGATCTCGATAAAAGAAACATATTTTCTCCTTACTTTTTCAGATAAATCCAAAATAACCGAGTTATTTAAGTTTAAAAAAAAATGTTTTTTTTTAAATGTTGAGTTGAGAGCCACCGGATTTTTTCTGTATTTGCATCCCTTTTAGTGCCGCAACCATAGAGTAAAGCCGTAACTATGGTAATATCAGAGATTAAGAAATTATACCGTGGGAAAATTTCCGGTGAACAGGCAGTTCTAAAAAGTTTTCGAAAAATATACAGGGAAGTTAAAAGAAAATGCATGATTTTCAATATCTTTTTTTAGCGAAAAAAACTCATAAACGTGTTCCTGGGGTCGAAATATACCACCCCTGAAAATATTTGCACTTATTCAAGACTCACCCTATATGTATATAAAATATTAGCAAGATTAAAATGTTAAATATTTAGTAAAATTTAGTGTTGTATCTAGACATTCAACATTAAATTTAAAAATAATTATATTATTAATTTAAATAAAATTATAAAAATAAATAAAATGAGTATATCGAAAATAACAATAGATTAGTAACAAGTTAACAATACATTTTTAGGGCAAGAACATGGGCAATTGCATCTAATAGAGAAGACTTGGTTGAAGATATAAATAAGGCCCAGAAAAGGTACAGGTTGTGTTCTGATCATTTTGAATTTAGTATGTTTACCAATTCACTTTGTAACGGTATAAAATACGTGGCGGTACCTACTTTGTTTCCTGCCATGAAAAAAATAGAAGTTTCTCAAAAAAAATTGTGGATTTATTAATTTGTGAAATTTGAATATTAATAAAATTTGCTACGCCCATTGATGGGCATAATTTGTACGTAGCCTCTTTATATTGTTCAATAAATATTTTATTGGTATTTTTTTAATTCTTGTTTGTAACTCCTGGCATGTTTTTGTTAGTTGCATGTTTTTTAATTTTAATTGTCTATTCTCTACAGTGAAATATTTAATTGATTTTTTCATTTTTACTTTTCGAGAAGTATGCGCGGTTAACGATTCATTTGTTTGGACAAAATATTGTAAATAAAATTCAGTTTCAGTCAATTACAGTATTTTTTTAATACGATCCTGTCGTATTTTCTGAGAAATTTTTTAATACGTTTTAATCCGGCCCTGACTAGGAAACCATAATGGCGCCGACAAGGTCAAATTTTATAGAAATTTTAAACAATGGAATCTGAGTAGAGTTGGCGTGCTGATTGTTTTATGTGCCGTGGCTATGGTATACTTCCTGCATGATTCAAAATCCGGTATACTATTTTATTATCTTAACTTCGATTGTTCTAGAAAAGAGAGAAGGGCATCCTATTGTTGAGAACGCAATATACAAACACGATCTCTAAGTGTGGTATAGTTTTAGTAATTAAAAATAATAAAATACCGAAGATTGTATAAATATAGGGAAATCGGAACAATTTCCGTTGCACGTCATCAATGACGTTTGCTCGTCTTATGGAGTTTGCTGGTGGTCGTATTATGATGTGCAACGGAAGTTATTTTAATTTCCCTATATATACTCACTGGCACGAAAAACGGACACTTTAAAATTTTTATGTATTTTTAATGTTAATATACCGTGTTGTCCGAAATGTATTCCGGATAGTATAAAGAGTATACTTCGGTGGCATATTCTGCAGATAAAAGTAAGAAAAAAAGTTCGCATATGTATGTCCTAAAATGCTTAGTTTCGGAAATACAGGGTGTAGAAATTTCATTTTTATTTCGGGAGATTTTTTCTCCATAATTTCTGAAGTAACGTCAATATTTGGATAAAAATTGATTGGTGTCTGGGAGTTTTTTGACATGAAAAATTTGATTTTGGTATCAATATGACTCCTACTTGTAGAGGGCACCACCTACATATTTTTAACTGGTTTAAAGTCTAATAACTTTTCATTCGTACCTGTATAAAACTGTTGAGTAAACATTTTCGACATTTTCTACGTAAAAATGGTTTCTTGGTAAAAATTGTTACGAGTAAAAGTTATATATATATTTGGAATCGAAATTATCAATACCTGTCATCATTGACATAAATTAAACATGTTGACTAAATAGTTATTAGACTAAAATCATAAATTTGAAATGATTTTGTGCCAAAAGTTCAACAGAAGCTGTTTTATCATCATTTTTCGCAGAAAAAATTATAATTAATTTGAAAAAATAAAAAGTTCCCAAATTTATAATACAGTACAAAAATATGTGAAAATATTACTTTTTTATTTTTACCACGCAATTTTTAAACAACGTGTGATTGCCGATTCATAATTTATTTCTGTTATGTCGATATATTTTTAACTGACTTTTGTAACTTGATAAAAGTATACAGAAATAAAAAGACATTTTTTTTCTATTACGCAATTAAATAGAGGTCTACTAGACCACTCTGTAGCGACTAAAGGAAAATTATTCAGTATAGTCGTTGAGGGTTAAATTAATATTTCAAAACAAGTAGTGTTTAGTTCAATGAATCATGCACAGGATAACTCACGCGACATTTTTGAAATAGAAAATTCCCAACTAAAACTACAAACCTCCCAAATTCCACGTTAAATATATTACTACATTGTATTATACAGAATTATTATTATTACCTAACCGAAACAATTTAAAAATACCCAGAAAATCCTTTTGACCTGAAAATGTCTTGCATTTAAACGGAATTCCCCGAAGAACAATAACAGAACCGCCCGCCTTCAACAGTCAATTTCTCCCAAAAAGGTACTACCGCTCCAAGGTTACTATAATAGTTCCGTAATACACTCCGTAGGTACTTTCTCCTGGGTAAATCCCAACCCACGCTTCTGCACCGAAAAGTTTACATAATAACCCCCCGACACTTAAGTTAGTTACTTCATGCATTAACCCCCAGAAATGCTTCGTATAAAACCGGAGTACTGATCTTTTACCTAACTATTACGTCTAACATCTTTCATTCTTTAATTTTCTGGTACTGTTTCAAATTAAATATACATTTTTTGGCGTGGTACTTCGTGCCAATTCTCGCTGTGCCTGCTGCGTACAGTTATCTGACCTACAATACGCTGAACATCGATAATCACGATATCAAAAGCGACAGTGCTTGAAACAAAAGAAACTCTTGACAATGTTGTGGCTGTCAAAGTGGCTGTTCCTGCTGTCATCGGTGACACTGGTCGCTCTGCAAGGTCAGAATCCGCCGACATTCGGGAACGGTCAGGAGCAAGACGCGAGACAAGGTGAGTCGAGGTCAATAGACTTAAGAATATACCGTTAAGACGGTACTGAATAGGTTAGAATAAGACTGGTGAAGCAGTTGAGTTTGAATGATTTACGTATAAGGTTTTAAAGTGTTGTGTTGTGAGCTAAATAAGGGATATGACGAGGTAGTAGAACTGCTAGATTATTTTTCTTCTTAGTTCGTTTTGTAAGAAGATTTGCGTCATTATAGGTGGATATAGAATCACTTTTTCTCGTCGAATTTTAATATTATAAAATATAACGCAATTTCGTGATATACAGGGTGTTGATGAAAAAAACATGTACCATCTCTGGTGGGAAGATTCACATAAAAATAAGATTTATTTTTCATATCAACATAGGTCCAATTCTGTTTTGTTCCGTTTAATGCCAATTAAAAGTTAAATACAGAAATAAGCCAATAAGAGATAAACGCAATTTTATTAATTTGTCTTGGTCCAAGTCTAATAATTGTACCTCTAACTGACTACCACTTACTTTTAAAAAGTTTTAATATCATTAACTTGTAAAAGTGTTAAATAAGTACTCATTGATTCCTCAACTAAAAATATGAAAAAAGTTCCTATAAACATGCGCCTGGAGATGCATAGTTTTAGAGTTACAGGACGTTAAAACTTTCTAAAATTAGATTTTTTGTAATGTTAGGTCTTAAATACCATTTTTTTATATGAAATTGCTGTAGGTTGGACTAATCCATATATACCGGGTGCGTCTCAAAAGTGAATCATCCATATAACTTTTTTATTTTTTCAGATAAAAAAAAAACGAGATTTAGTACGTTAGTATATGACATAAATTGGGATTGATTGACGTATTTAGTTGTTTTTAGTCACTTCCTGTTTCACCGGAAATGACTGCAACTTTTGATTTTTAATTGGCACCCTCGGTATATTTCTGCTTTATTCGATAGAAAATGACATGAATAAAATGAACATGAAACCGAGACTCTGAATAAAATGACATATTATACGTCAACTTTTGATATTTTCGCATATGGTTTATATGAAATTGTAACATGCAGTTCATAATGACAACTTGACTCGAAATACCAAGTATGTGGTATCAAATTATTGGTAAAAAAAATGCTTTTTCCAAGTATGCTAATGAGCCACCCTCGTTTCATTTGGAAAAGTTGAGATATGATTAAAAATACGATTTGTGCATCTTTTAACCGGCCAGAACAAGACACGAAAAACATTAGACGATCAAATCTATTTTTCCAAGGCTCCTTGAATAAAAATTAGTGTTTTTAACACAGCCATGGCACTATAAATTGAAATTTAAAATATGATTTTTTTTAAAGCGAAAATGTCAAAAGTTGACATATGATATGTCATTCTATTCAGAGTGTAATTTTCTATCGAATAAAGTAAAAAAAAATACCAAGGATGCCATTTAAAAATCAAAAGTTTTGCAGTTGTTTCCGGCTTTGAATAAGAAGACTAAGGAAGGAGTATATCAAAAATCTTAGGTACACCGCGATGGACCTCAAGTATGGCCGATTTAAATTCCGGTTTATCAGTGTCGTTCTAATTTTATTTAAAAAATGTAAAACTATGATGTAGGGTAGACCCAATAATTTGTTGTTTTATTTTACGTTGTGAATAAATATTGGTAGTTATTAAAATTGTTATAAAAATATATAATTCTAATAAAAATAGATAAGTTATAAGTATTTATTAACACAAACATCCCATACGCTACTGAAGCAGGTAAGTCAAATTAACGTATCTAAATTCTTTGATATCTAATCTTTGACAAGTAATAAATAAAAGTTAAAATGCAAGAAAAATATATAATTTAGTTAATTTAAGTGAATTTCATAAATGATCGGTTTACTACACGTATGTATATTATATAGTCACTTACTAGCGAAAAGTTGTTCCATTATTTCACTCAATTTTTGCCGAGATCTACCGCACGCTTACACAACCAACTATTTTAGAGTCTTTTTCGATAAATCGCGATAGTGTCACTGTTAATTTAAGTTCTGCCACAATTTCCATCTAGATTTACTACCTTTATACAACTATCAGTAGTAGAATAAATAATAAATAACATAAAATAAGCTCCGTAAAGACTGACAAATCCACAAAATTTCAGATCAAATTCAAATATGTCAAATGAATCGTCAAACAGAACTGTCAAGGATCCCCACCCTAGAGTGCTTTTATGGTGCTTTTTCCACCCACCATGCATGAATACATGGATAGCATTATGCTCCTTCCTTAGTCTTCTTATTCAAAGCTTTCCGATAAAACAGGAAGTGACTAAAAAAAATTGAATACATCAATCAATCCCAATTTACGTCATATACTAACATACCAAATCTCGTTTTTTTATCTGAAAAAATAAAAAAGTTATAGGGTTGAGCCACTTTTGAGACGCACCCGGTATACATCTACAGGGTGTCCCACAATTAGTGCGAAAAACTCAAAGTGGTTGTAGAGGGCATCAAAACAAGTCATTTGAGTATAGGAATACATGTCCGGAAATGTGCCGTTTTGGTAGGAGGTGGAGGGAAACGTAAATTTCAAGTTGCATTATTTATTCAAAATATTTAGAAAAACTGCTCAAAGTGTCGTCCATTCTGTTGAAGACACAAATGCAAACGCCTGTTTGCTGTTGATCGTAGGGCGTGCAGTCCGTGTTGGTACCTTAGTGCACGTCCAGTCAAGTTCCTTCCGCTCATTTTTATAATACCGGACATGGGTTCCTATACCCAAATGACTGGTTTTGATGCCCTCTACAACCCCTTTCAGTTTGTCGCACTAAATGTGAGACAGCCCGTATAGAAGCTCTTTTTTACAAAATTACTCTAAATCTTTCTAGCTAGATTGTTTGCTTTTTCATTGCCTTCTATCCCTTGGTGGGCTGGCATCTAGAGCAGGAGTACTTTATTATCTTTGAATATATACTAATAAAAAATTATAAAAACACAATAAAAACACATTCTAGAAATGCTTTTAACTATATATTATCAGGAGCTTTAGTTATTTTATGTACACTCCAACGTATATCTAGCTTCATTTTGTGTGCAAAGAGCAATACTACTTCCGTATTTTATATCGTGAATTTCTAGTTATAGCTCTGAAAATTCTCACAAAGAGTTATAAAGACACCATTTTTATCCTGGACGAGATTTTGTCTCTCCTCTTTCAATCCCCACGCTATCCTTTTAGATTCTGAATGTTCTATAAGGCTATAAATTTTACGCTTGCATTTTTATGACCTATATCGAGTTAAAATATGGGTGATACTGGAAACGCTGTTCGTAAACAAGCCAGAAAGAAATCTGGAAAGATTAATATCCACATTTTTTTAGATCTAAAAATGTATACATGACGACCTGATGGTGAAATTTATACTAGTCATATTTAAAATATTATTGACTTAAGTAAGACTTTTTACCTCATACGATTTTATATAACATATCATTTACAACAAACGATCGAAAAAAAAACTGCGTCAAAAACGGCTGGAGAATGACAATCGATGATAATTTTGGCGGGGTCAAGCCCTAGACATGATTTACTTGGCCTGTACTCTTCTTTACTAAACTTCTTCTTACTTGTACTCTTAAAGAAGAGTACAAGCTGTGAGAGGATTGTAATTTTGTTAATTTTTGAAGATTTATGTCAATTTTTAGTAAATGACATTTAGAGATTGACCTCGCAAAAATTATCATATATTGTCTCCCAGCTATCTAAGATGCCCTTTTTTCAATCATGCGTATTATACAGGGTAGTTCGAACTGTATTCCGGAAACTTCGGCAGCATATCCTGCAGATAAAAATAAGTAAAAAAGTTCATATAAATGTATGTCCGTAAATGCTTAGTTTCGGAGATACAGGGTGTAGAAGTTTCATTTTTATTTCAATTTTTTCCAAATAATTTCTGAAGTAATGTCAATATTTGGATGAAAATTGGTGTCTAGGAATTTTTTGACTTGAGGAATTTGATTTTGATGTCAATATGACTCCTATTCGTAGGGGGTGCCACCAATGTAGGTGTACAGGGTGGGTCAAATTCGACGCTTTTAAATGGAAACACCCTTTTCTATAGGAGATAGACGAAAACTAATATCGGTGTCTGGAGCTCAATTTTCATCAAAAACATTATGGTGAAAACCGCACATCAATATCTGTTACCGTTTCGGAGTTACGGGGTGTTTTTCAAAAATGTGCATTTTGAACAAATCGCTGTAACTTTTTTGCTATGGAAAATTTTGTATTTCTTTGAAAACATTTCCAAAGCACCTTTTTCGTAGAATTTAATCGTTTAAGTATAATTTTTTTAAAATTAATAATTTAAGAGTTATCATCAGAAAAATTGATTTTTTATTTGGGGCAACCTCTATATTTTTAATTAACTGAAAAGAATTTAAAATTACCTTTCCAAAAATATAGCACACTTGATATTTTGTTATATTCCCCTTCGAAATATAAATTTTTTAAAAGTTCGCCACTTTTAACTAGTAGGCTTTGGACCCCTTATTGATGATATGCTCTTAATGCAACTCGAAAACATATTTTTCCAGCAAGCCGGCGCACCGCCTTTGAACGCTGAAGTTATCAGCAAATTTTTGCAGCCAATTTCAAGAATAATTGAATAGCTAACCAAGATCCCAGCCATTGGCCGTCGAGGCCGCCTGACTAGTGCCAATGGATCTAAACCTATGGATATATTTGCGGAAGAATAAAGGTTCCTTATTCTTCCGTATAATCTAGACAAGAATTAGAAATACTTAGCAGTTATGAGAGGGTATCTTTCACCCCCACTGAGTAATGAATTCCGCGAGAAATGTTCAAAAACTGCCCCGTCTGTCCATAACAGAAGACGGTCGATATGTCGAACACCTGTAGCAAAATCTCATGTCTTGGTTTGCTGTTTATTTTTATTGTTATTAGATATAGTTTAAATGTGTTGATGTTGGTTTAATATATTTTAAATTGTTATAAAACTCTGCATCTCTCATAGCAAATATTATTTTCGTTTTCATTGATGCTCACAGCTAGATTTTTTTGCATTACAGCCGGTGCGGTTCAAAGCCTACTTATTTAAAGCGGGCGAATTTTTATATACTCTATATCTCGAAGAGGAATCGAGCAAAATATCAAGTGTGTTATATTTTTGGAAAGGTAATTTTAATTTCTTTTCAATAAGTTAAAAATATACAGGGTGTTCCATATAAAAAATTAAATTTTCTGTTGATAATTCTTAAATTATTAATTTTAAAAAAAATACACTTAAACCATTAAATTCTACGTAAAAAGGTGCTTTGAAAGTGTTTTCATAAAAATACAAAATTTTCCATAGCAAAAAAGTTACAGCGATTTGTTAAAAATGCATATTTTTGAAAAACACCCCGTAACTCCAAAACGGTAACAGATATCGATATGCGGTTTTCCCCATCATGTTTTTGACAAAAATTGAGCTCCACACACTGATACTAGTTTTTATCTATCTCCTATAGAAAAGGGTGTTTCCATTTAAAAGCGTCGAATTGGACCCACCCTGTACATGTGTATTTTCACTATTTTGAAAAGTAAAAAAATTTTGTCCGTACCTGTGTAAAACTATTGAGTGAGAAAATGTATATTTCCGTAATTTTTTACGTAAAAAAAATGTCTCTTGGTAAAAATCGCTACGAGCAACCTTCCTCAAGATATTATGAATGGAAGTAGTCAATACATATAATTATTGAGAAAAAATACGTTGAGTAGATAGGTACCTATCTCGGTACCTATTTAACTGAAATTATAAATTTGGGAACTTTTTATTTTTTTAAATTAATCATAAATATAATTTTTATTGTTGTCGATCCAATAATATATAATGTGTTCTTTTTTTATAAATTGGATTAGGATCGAAAGAAATCAACAGAAGTCCTTTGTTTTAAATTTGTCGACGTTTCGCAAAATTTATTTGCATCTTCAGGACACTACAAAGTTAAGAGAGCAAAAAATACAATCAAATAAAAGTTTTTTTCAAAAATTTAACAAACAACCCAAAATACATATCAGTGGAATTCCACACATATACAATTGGTAAAACTACCCTAATGTTAACAATTAAATAAAATATATGTATATGTTACTCAGACGTAGAAAACCTGAGTACAGCATATTTTAATATTCTTTCAAAAATTAAATAATATAACTTCAGAATAATGGTTTAAATCCAAATAATATTTTTATATGTTTCTTTTTTCAACTGTTCTTTATCTCCAGGTAAAAATTATATTAGTATTTTATCAACTAGAATTAGTTGCTCTCTGTATACGGTCCACGTAGGTACATCTGCACTGCTTGTCTGTGAAAGAAAAAGATTTTCGTGATATTTTTCTATACATAATTGTGTTATATGTTTTTTTTTATGTAAGTGTGTTATGTGTTTTAAAAGGAAAAAAGGAATATATACCACTCACCTCTATACCATCCGTGTATTAATGGATATGACTAAGAAAGTCCAGATTTAAATGTGAGTAACATATACATATATTTTATTTAATTGTTAACATTAGGGTAGTTTTACCAATTGTATATGTGTGGAATTCCACTGATATGTATTTTGGGTTGTTTGTTAAATTTTTGAAAAAAACTTTTATTTGATTGTATTTTTTGCTCTCTTAACTTTGTAGTGTCCTGAAGATGCAAATAAATTTTGCGAAACGTCGACAAATTTAAAACAAAGGACTTCTGTTGATTTCTTTCGATCCTAATCCAATTTATAAAAAAAGAACACATTATTAATCATAAATTTTTCTGCAAAAAATAATGATAAAAAACAGTTTCTGTTGAACTTTTGTCAGAAAAACTTTTCAAATTTATGATTTCAGTCTAATAACTATTTAGTCAACATGTTTAATATATGTCAATGATGACAGGTATTGATAAATTCAATTCGAAATATCTCGAAAACCATTACTCGTAGCGATTTCTTCTACGATACCCTTTTTACGTAAAGAACGTCCTAAATGTATATTTTTTTACTCAGTAGTATTATACAGGTACGGACGAAAATTGATTACTCTTCAAACGAGTTAAAAATTTGTAGGTGGGGCCCTCTACAAGTAAGAGTCATATTAACTTCAAAATCAAATTTCTCATGTCAAAGAACTTCCAGACACCAATTTTCATCCAAATATCGACGTTAGCTCAGAAATTATTTGGAAAAAAATCGAAATAAAAATGCAATTTCTACACCTTGTATCTCCGAAACTAAGAATTTTATAGCATAATGATACGAACTTTTTTACTTATTTTTATCTGCAGAATATGCTGCCGAAGTTTCCGGAATACAGTTCGGACCACCCTGTATAATGTAAATAGATATCATAACACATAATTCACGCAACTAGTCTGGAAATCTACTAAAAGAATAAATTTAATATATTGTAATATACTAAGAAAGATAAAACTTTTCTGTGCGTATCCCAAGAAGTTATTCTAACAAATTTATTTTAATCTATTTTAGGGCGAAATTTATTGGATTGGATTGGCCTGGGCACTGGTCCAGATCAAGATCCCTATTTGGCAAAAACAAACGCCCAATGCTTGAACGGAGATCTTGCGTCGTGTTTCCAGAGCAGAGCCTTGGCATCTTTGGATGACTTTTTCAATCAGGTTAGTCATAAAATCGTCTGAGGATAACGGATTTTATTTTTAAAAAAATTTAAAAAGATCTTCAGTTAAAAAAGAGACTAAACACTATGAGTTTTCGTATTTTTATATTTTTACGTAAACTTTTCATATATTGATATCTTAATGTAAACATAACTTGATAGTTGGTAAGAAAAAAAATTATTATAGAAATATCGATGGACTTTTGATAAGTCAAATTATATTAAACTTTTTTCTACTTGGTTCCTAACCATATAAAAATAAAAAATATACTCTCAGATGCAAAAAAACGCAACGGAGAAATTTTTTTTTTGGTCAACTTTAAAGTGTTATGCTGGAAGTACACACTCGCCGAGGCGACCCGAGACAAAAAAGGACTGTCCTAACCAATAACAATGTACAGATCGTTAACTTTTTGTGGAGTATCGGGTCGCCTCGCCGAGTGTATACTTGCACCATTATATTTTTGTTACTTTTAGCCCTATTTTTATGAATTTTTTAGCACGCTGTATATAATTATATCAACTTTAATTACTAAACTCAGTTTTTTATAAACTTTAGTATTTGGCATATTATACAGGGTTAATCGACGGGTTGTTTTTTTACCCTAACTTTAAAACACCCTGTGCAATAATTTCGTGTGTAAATTTTCTTAAATTATAATTTTACGGTCAGAACCATGTCTCATGAGCATTTTGTTTCTTCATTTATGTCAATACATGTTTTGGTTAATTTTTAAGAGCGAAATGAACTCGCCACCAACAATTTACAATTTTTTTCAATAATTATAATTTCTCTTTGAAGTTATTTTTTAATATGACAAGGCGGCTTTGGTGATTATTGTGAACTATACATTACTATGAACTGCCCATTATGTTCAGCGTTTGGGAAATGCTTGGCAAGAGGGTTAGAGGTCGCGAAGCGTTACCAGCTTCATTAAATGATCTTCGTTTGGGCCTTAAAGAAGAACATGCTAGCGATTCTCTAAACATATTTCCTGTCTAGTGACTCATCAATCGTATACAAATAGCATAGGCTGGACAGGAAATTTCTTGCTACGGGGCTTACAGAATCCCACTGCAGGAAAACATAACGCAATATGATATACTAAGGGCTGGCAGAGGTTAGTCTTAGGTCGAGATTTCCGTATGTAAGAAGAGTACAATGCGTTTATAATATACTGAACAAAGAGAGGACAGTAAACACGTTGCGAAACGTACGAAATAAACCGAGAAACTGTGCACGTCGCTAAGGGCACAAACATAGTGAGGCATCTCAATGCGACGCTCGCCAAGGTGCTTGCCGCGCTGCTCGCCAGGATGCTAGCCGCGATGCATCCTACGCGTACTGTTTTAAAACGGCGAGTAAGTGCGCGTAGGATGCATCGCGACTATCGTACAAACATAGTGCGGAGCATTTCATCTCGATGCGACGCGCCATTCACCTCGCCATCCGGCGATGCTGAATCAAACATGTACAAATTTGTGCGTCAAAACATACTGTAGCCTCGCACCTCGCCACGCATCTAGATGTTCAGCGCGATGCTTCCTAAAAAACAAAATTTTTGTTTTTTGCGAGAAGCAGAGGCGGATGCCTGAAACTTTACATTTGATTGGTCGGTTTAGGATCACAATTCGTTGAGCATATGTCGAACTAGAGTCGGGTGGAATAAAATGTTCACAATACTAATATTTAATTTATCAATGACTAAAGGTAATAACTTTGATTCTACAGGGTCCGGCAATAATGCGTCAGGAATCTGTAGTTCTAATAATAAAAAACTTATGAATTTTGTAGTCCAGACATAAAGTATGTATTAGGATGTATTTGAGGAAAATATTTGAACTTCTAAAGGGTGGCTCAAAAAAGTGTGAGTGTATCGTGAATATTTTTTTTAAATGGAACACCTATATACGGGATGGCGCAATTCATTCGCGTCGGTTGATTATACGAAAACGGAAATATGTAAAAACAAAATATTTTATGGGCATATGTGGGAAGACCATGTGCATAATTTGAAATTATTTTGAAATGTACAGGGTATGTCAGAACTAAGATTTACACCAAAATTATATTTTTTCTTATGGAACACCCGATATTTTATTTCTTATTTGGATCCTTGGACACAAAATAAGGCATGTATTATAAGGGTTATTATATATTAATATGTTTACAAGCTTTGGTTTTTGAGATATTTAAAGATATATAAATATACATGCTACAATGGAATAGATTATCAACACCCTGTACATTACTTTTTAGAATTAATTCTTGTGCGGAGTTTAAAGTTAGAGAAATAAACTTTACTGAAAAATTGTATTGCTGCCTTAAATTTATACAGGAGTACCAAAAATTGATGATTTATTTTAAATATTTATTTTACATAAAAATTTTATTTCAAATACGACAACCTAATTTTTAAAATAAATCGAAACAAATTCAAATGCTCTTTCAAACTACATATATTAGGGTGTCCTATACCTATCTAGCTCAGACTTTGAATAAAGAGCAATTTTTCAATAAAATGGCAGCAAAGAGGGCTGATGTCGTCATGGCAAGTTTCTAGTGACAGTAGCTATTTTCAAAATCGAAATTAGTTTATGGACGTTATTTATTTATAGCAAGTACTTTAATCACTAGTTGATTAAAAAAAGTATACCATTAATATTGCAAATTATATTTTATCCTCTCATAGTATGTCTTTTTAATTATTTGATTATGTAACGAGCACTTTGCTTACTTACTTGTTTCGTCGAACTGCTTGAAACCATTTTTGCTTTTGATCAAATTGGTGTGAGAAACTATGAAGCTATAAAATTTTGTTTCAGGAGAGTTGAATATCCGGGAAAGTTCAGTTATTGAATGTAATTGCACCCAACAACGCCCTAATTGCGCTCTCCTTTATGCGTTAACATTTTTTTCGGCAATTTTATTAACATTTGACATTGTCACAACACAGCATGATGCCGACGCCTAGTTCGAATTCTTTTTCATTTATTTTTTACTACCCGAAACAGCATTACCTCACACAAATCTGGTACCTGAGTGTTTTATCTCTGTTTGTCTCAATAACTGCACTAACAAAAAACTAAAATACTTGTATATTATAACAAAACCACGATTTCAATATTATTCTATGCGATCAACATGAAAGCGACGTGAAATAGATAGGGATAATTTCTGATTTTTGCCATTGACTCGGTGCGGTAGGAATTTGTTGAAATCAACTGAAATGCACCAAGCCTATACTAATTAATAACTACTATTACATAAACTGGTGCTTAATAAAACGGCGATGGTAAATGTTTCAGTATGCCTGCGCGCACCTATTCGCCGTTTTAAAACAGTGCGCGTAGGATGCATCGCGGCTACCATCCTGGCGAGCAGCGCGGCCAGAATCTTGGCGAGCATCGCATCGAGATGCCTCACTATGTTTGTGCCCTAAGAGACGTGGAAGGGGATATAGCAGATTTGTCGCAGTTGACCGGTCGACCCAATCAATACCTCTGTCCTCTGTCAGTACTTAAACTTCTAGGGAAACGTGTACGTCATGAATTCAGCTTCACGATTTAATTACGTCTCGTGATACTTAATTTGTTTACTTGTTAACGAGTCGTTGTAATTTTCCCTATAGCTTGAATTTTTTTTAAGTGCAAGCTAGAAATACTTGCATTTTTGGTAAAAATAAGTGGAATTGAGTGGGCGTTCGATAGTGGTCGCGCTATTAGAACTCTGAATTCAAAAATCGATATCTCGAAATATCTTAGAAATAATAGATTGTAGTTTTTTCAAGAACATTGTTAATATTTCTGCTGTACTTTCTTTGTAGACAGTATATGAAAATTTTTATCAATAAAAAAATTACGCGATTGTTAAAAATTGCTTGTAAACATATTGTAAAATATCCGATCTTGAAAATAAAAAAAGTTTCAATATCTAAAGTGGTTCTTTAGTTATGGCCTGTTATGTGATAAAAAGTTGAGTTTTTAAATTATCGCGATTACTGACCTTTTCTCGTTATAAAAAAATGACACCCTAACGATATCCTTATAATTCCATTTCAGATGCTCAGAAACATGTCTAATGATTTTATCTAGTTATCTCTTGATAAAAAAGTCTTTTAAAAATAAGCGGTTTGCGATCGTGATTTTACTTGATAGGGAAAGGCGTACCGGCAACGCCGCAACAACATACCGTCGCATTTCTCTCACTCCGACTTAATAAGATCCCTATGCGATTTACTTCCACACATGTAAATGCTGACCCAAAACTAACAGTTGCCAGCACGATATGCGGCCTCAATGACAGTATGAACGGATGTATACAGGCAGTTATAGCAACCAAGAGAGGCAATACAAAGTATTAGGGTATTTTTTACAATTTTTTGTTTTGTATTTTTTTATTGGGGTATTACAGATTTTTTCTTTAATATCGTTAGTTCTGTTATCGTTATTAATGCTTATTAAAACCCGGACTGTATCGTTAGTTTTTAACGTTTTTTTTTTATTTAATATACAGGGTGGTCCGAACTGTATTCCGGAAACTTCGGCAGCATATTCTGCAGATAAAAATAAGTAAAAAAGTTCATATAAATGTATGTCCGAAAATGCTTAGTTTCGGAGATACAGGGTGTAGAAGTTTCATTTTTATTTCAATTTTTTCCAAATCATTTCTGAAGTAATGTCAATATTTGGATGAAAATTGGTGTCTGGGAGTTTTTTGACATTAGAAATTTGATTTTTATGTCAATAATATGACTCCTACTAGTAGAGGGCGCCACCGACATATTTTTTAACTGGTTTGAAGAGTAATAACTTTTCTTCTGTACCTGTATAAAACTACTGAATAAAAAAATGTACATTTACGATGTTTTTTACGTGAAGAAGGTCTCTTAGTAAAAATCGCTACGAGTAATGGTTTTCGAGATATTTCGAATTGAAATTATCAATACCTGTCATTATTGACATAAACATGTGGACTAAATAGTTATTAGACTGAAATCATAAATTTGAAAAGTTTTTCTGGGAAAAGTTCAACAGAAACTGTTTTATCATCATTTTTTGCTGAAAAATTTATGATTAATTTAAAAAATAAAAATTTCCCAAATTTATTATTTCAGTGAAATAACTATCTACTCAACGTGTTTATTTTTCGTCAATAAAAACTATTCTAAATATCTTAAGAACGGTTGCTCGTAGCAATTTTTACAAAGAGATATATTTTACGTAGAAAGTCACAGAGATGTATATTTTTTCGCTCGGTAGTGTTATACAGGTACGAACAAAAAGTTATTAGGCTTCAAAACAGTTAAAACACATGTAGGTGGTGCCCTCTACTAGTACGAGTCATAGTGACACCAAAATCAAATTTCTCATGTCAAAAAACTTCCAGACACCGATTTTCATCCAAATATTGACGTTACTTCAGAAATTATTTGGAAAAAATTGAAATAAAAATGAAACTTCTACACCCTGTATCTCCGAAACTAAGCATTTTAGGACATCCATTTATTCCAACTTTTTTACTTATTTTTCTCTGCAGAATATGCTGCCGAAGTTTCCGGAATACAGTTCGGACCATCCTGTATAGTATCCAATGCAGCGTAATATGACGTTACGACAATCATCCCGTCATATTAAAAATTACACCAAAATGTAATGATAATTGAAAAATTGCAAATTGATCGTGATCAGTTCATTTCGGTGTTAAAAATTAACCAAAGCATGTATTGACATGAATGTCTCGGAAAATGCTCAGGAGTCATGGTTCTGGTCGTAAAATTATATTTTAGGAAAATTTACACTCATAGATATATTTATATATTTTTTCTTAAAATGTGACAATGCATTACAAATGTATACTGGGGAACTATAATAGGTACTTCTCAAACATGTATCAACAAAGCTTCTTACACACAGTTGACAACATCATCATGCCAAGGACTCTGTAACGACAATACAACCATACAGCAAAAATATGTCGTCAGGGTCTTTGAAAACTTACGTTTGCGATTGCTTCATAATTAACTTTTCTCTTGTCATTTTTTGTAATTCTGCTGATATATTTTTTTTCTCTTAGCCTGCTTATGTCTTAACTGAGAAAGCTAGAGTTCTGAGATTACCCGAAACCCACTTAAGATCACTTGGACAAGAATCTTATGAATATTCATCCGCTCCTAGATCAGAAGATTCAGAATGGGATTCCTTAGTTAAATTTGGTATGAGAAAAGTAAGTACATATATTTTTTATCCAAACTTTTAAATATGTTTAACCAGACCTAAGTATCTCGAAAACGCGATTGAAATATAATTCTATTTTCTATATCCAAGCTAATATACAGTATGTTGTGTTTGCAAGAGGAAAAGCTTTTTTATTTTTGGCATTTTAACGAACATTCATAAAAATTTATGCTTGTTCTAAAATGGTTAATCCCGTTTATGCTTTTCTCAATTTCTATTCCATTTTAGAGAAAATTAAGAAAAGACATGAAAATATGCTTGAATTTCTAAAAATTAAAAGGCAATATAATTTCGTTTTCATTATTTGATTCTTCTTCTTCTTATCACGCCCTCTTCTACCGATGGTTGGCGATCAAAGTGGCAATTGTGGGTCTGGAAACTGCAGCCCGGAAGATTTCCACAGACGAGCGTTCAAACCATCTCCTCATATATTTTAGCCATGAGTTCTGGCGTCTTCCTACTGATCTTTTCCCTTGCACTTTGCCCTCTATTATTTTGCGCATTATTTCGTATTTACCACCTCTCATCACATGACTCAGGTATTGTATTTTTCTTTCCTTGATGGTGTTCAGTATCTCTTTTTGTTTCTGCATGCGCTGGAGTATATCGTTGGTGATCCTTTGTACCCATGAGATTTTCAGCATCCGTCTGTATACATACATTTCGAAGGCTTCTGTTCTCTTTTCGGTCTGTGAATCCAGTGTCCAGCTCTCACATCCGTAGAGTAACACAGAGAAGACGTAGCATCTGGCTATTCGAGTTCTGAGTTCCGCACTGAGGTCTCGTCTTGTAAAAAATGATTTCATTCTCACGAAGATTTTTCTCGCTTGCTCAATTCTTGAAAATATTTCTCTTTTCGGGTCGCACTGACTATTGATGTTAGCTCCTAAATACTTTATTAAGGTCACTTGTTCGATTGTTTGTTCCTTGACACGAAGGTGTGCATTTATTGGAGTCTTAGAAAAGACCAATAGTTTGGTCTTGGAGACATTGAGATGCAGTCCATATATCTCACTATAGTGGACTACGGAATCTATAATGCTTTGCAGTTCTTGTATATCGCTGGCTATTATAACCGTATCATCGGCCATATCTGATATTGTTTATTGGGATTCCATTAAACTTGATTCCGCCCTGGATTCGATCCAGTGCTTCTCTAAATATAGTCTCCGAGTACGGGTTAAACAGGAGCGGAGACAAGATTATTTGATGGATAGATGGTTATTATTAATTTTGATTAACGTAAATTTGTTGCTGTTGTTAAAGTATCACAATTTTGGATTACAACTATTACCACCCTTTTTGTAGCATTGAACTAAATAAATTTTAGGCTTCTTTAACAAAAGGCAAAAAATATATAAATATAGGTATAAATATTTGGCAGTGCCCCTGCCAAATGCAGCACAGCGGTACCATCCTATTCTCGAAGAAACTCACAAAATTTTTTAAGCCCCCTGTAACTTCCTTGTGGATAAATAAAGAATCATAATATTGAGTGATCAAGAGGACATACTATAGCTGGTAATATTGTCAGTATATCTAATTATTATATCTTATTGTTTATGAATCATCGCTAGTCAAATTTCTTCAACTTCAAAAGTGAACTGACCATCAAAATTCTAAGGTTCTTCTAGAAGACACACAAACTTCAAATCTTGAAATTCAGTTAATATTGATCCAACAGAGGAAAGTAAAAAATTAAAATAAACATGTCATCAAGAATGTAACATCGAACTAACTGACTATCCAGTCGACACGAAGTTGCAAAAATATATATAATTGATTGGATTATTATTAGTCAAAGTTCTTTGAACCGTTTTTCTGAAATACAATCAACGAAATTTAAAAGACTATAATACTAGAACTATTGTATTGCAGTGAAACAGTAATTTACTTAGGCCATTTAATGGCATATTAGTTTCCAAAACAGTTGAAGATAAGTACAAGACATTGTCCATAAAATACGAAATTAGGTATTGACAATTATGATTACATGGCATATCCTGTATATATACTTATTGTTGGAAAAATTGGTAAATAAAAATTAAAAAAATGTCAAAAAGTCGAGTGTTGAGAGAAAATGTTCATGGCTTGATTGGTTATCTTTCTCCATTTGTTTCTGTCTTTCGCCTTTTTTCTCCACCCATCCACTCATATCCTTCTCAATTCTCGGTCTATCCCTCCTTATATTTCCATCTATTTCACGTTTCGTTATCATACTATTATCGAACTATTTTGCTAATCCCATTATACTCGGTGCCCGACATAGATGTTTTAGTTCATCTACATCTTCATACATCATATGTTGCCTATTTCTTTTCCTTCAAAAATTTTCCTCATTATTTTTCTTTCCCAAATATTTAGCCTCGAACTTTCCGTTGCATTGAACGTCTACGTTTGATATGCATAGAGGACTATTGGTCATATCATGTTTGGTATATTTTGATTCTTAAACTTAGATGAGATAAATGATGATGATAAACTTAACTAGAGATGCTCTTACTACTTACTTAATATTTTTCTGTAGTGCGCTAACACATCTATTTCCTGCCATTATTCCTGCAACAATTTCCTGTGTATTTACTTCCTCAGACTAGTATCATTTCCCTCTCTCAGAATCTATTTGTAGACATCTTCCCTTCTCAAAGTCCCAGCTGACAACTCCATAAACTTAGTTTTCTTCTCATTAAACACTAAGCCTACTTTTTGTGCTTGATCTTCTAGTCTTTTGGTCACCAATATCAGCTCTTTCTGATCTTTTGCTAAGATAACTAAATCGTCTGCAAAGGCTAAGCATTGGTGTCTTTTTGTATACAGAAGGCCCTCTCTGTTCAACAGAGAGAGAAAATGTATAAATTCAATAATAATAATTTGCTTGTTCTGCCTTTATTTGTATAAAACCATGTTAATCCACCTCTATATTCACAAAGTGCGATATTCAGTTCCATATTTTAACGTAGTTTTACAAAACAATATATTGCACTTGCAGAACTGTAAAGCTACGGAAATTGTCCGAACAATATTGTTAAACTCTACACATACAGCTTACATGTTTGAATAAATGTTGTTATAGTTACTTTGTAACTTTGAGCGTACAAAAGCAATTTAACAGACACATAATTATTTAGAATGATAAAATTTACAATATTTGAATAATAGTTGTTAAATCTGGAAAATTACGAGCAAAACATTTATTCTCGGCTAAAAATGCTATTAAACCCTACAGCGAAAAAAATGTAGTACCTACATTATACACATATTTTTTACTTTAGTACAGGATCAAAGTCTTTTACTTGTCGGCTTTTAATATTTTCAGCGCGAAAAACTTTATAAATAAGTTTATAAACTTCAGGGAAGCTTATTTTTTATCACTAAACTTTCTCAAATACGTTATCCAGTTATGAGTTAAAAATAATGCCGGTTAAACTTAATCCCCCTCCCCTTTTATAAAGGAGTCAAAAAATATCTAAAAATAGATAACATATATGGTTTTCTTTATTTAACATAATATAAGTAAAATTTAAATTAATATTCTGGGTAGAGATATAGGCTCTCGTCTACCAATCTCAAGGTAGTGGGTTCGAATTCCACACCCGGCATTTCATTAGCCGACTATTTTTATTAAAATAAAAATAGTTTGGGTACCTAGGTCGACTCAGCCTTAAATGAGTACTTGGGATTCGCAATCCTGAGGTAATAATAGGCGATTGAAGCGTAGTGCTAGCCACATTACCTTCCTTGTATACCGAACGGCTTTAGTATGGCAAGCTCTACCTTGCTACTCCCAAGGCATTAAATGCTACATACGGGAGCTATTATTATTATTAATATTCTGTGATTTTCCATTTATATTTGTAGATTATTGACTCGACCTTAACACTTTTGTAAAAGAAATACTGGGTGCGTCTCAAATGTCGCTCATTCCTATAACTTTATTTTTTCCGAAAATCGAATTTTTTTAGAAAATCGTATGTTGGCATATAACAGAAATTAGAACTGATTGGCAAAATCAAAAGTTGTAGTCATCTCCGGTGAAATATGAAGTGACTAAAAACAATTCAATACGTCAATTAATCCTAATTTATGCCATATACTAACATACCAAATCTCTTTTTTTTTTTATCTGAAAAAACAAAAAAGATGTAGGTAGGGGCTCACCCCTTTTGAGATGCACCCCGATATACAGGGTGATCCGAACTGTATTCTATTAACTGCAGATTAAAATAAGTAAAAAAGTTCCTATACATTATATGTCCTAAAATGCTTAGTTTCAGAGATACAGGGGTGCAGAAGTTTCATTTTTATTTCGAATTTTTTCAAATAATTTCTGAAGTAACATCAATATTTGGATGAAAGTTGGTTTGTGGGAGTTTTTTGACATGAGAAATTTGATTTTGATATCAATATGACTAATACTTGTAGGGGACGCTACCTACTTGTGTTTTAACTGGTTTGAAGAGTAATAACTTTTCGTCCCTACCTGTTTAAAACTACTGAGTAAAAAAATATACATTACAATTTTTTATGTAAAACAGGTATATAGGTAAAAATCGCTACGAGTAATGTTTCTCGAGATATTTGGAATCTAAACAATCAATACCTGTCATCATTGACATACATTAAACATCTTGACTAAATAGTTATTACACTGAAATGATAATGTTTTTGTGCCAAAATTTCAACATAAACTGTTTTATCATCATTTTTTCGAAGGAAAATTTATGATTTATTTAAAAAAAAAATAAACGTTTTCAAATTTATCATTTCAGTCAAATAAGTATCTACTAAACATGTTTATTTTTTGTCAATAATGACATGTATTGACTATTTCCATTCCAAATATCTTAAGAACGGTTGCTCGTAGCACTAAGATATTTTACCAAGACATTTTTTAGGTAAAAAATCACTAAATTGTATATTTTTTCACTCAGTAGTTTTATACGGGTACGTACGAAAAACTATTACTTTTCAAAACAGTTAAAACACATATAGATGATGCCCCCTACAAGTAGGGGTCATATTGATATCAAAATCAAATTTCTCATTTCAGCAAACTCCCAGACACCAATTTTCATCCAAATATTGATGGTACTTCAGAAATTATTTGGAAAAATCGAAATAAAAATGAAACTTCTACACCCTGTATATCCAGGCATTTTACAACATACATTCATACGAACTTTTTTACTTAATTTTATCTGCAGAATATGCTGCCGGAGTTTCCGGAGTACAGTTGGGACCACCCTGTATAATAACTTCATAACTTTTTTAATTTTTATGGCACATATAGAAATACCAATATAATTTTTACAGCCCGGCATATTTGTTTTGTATAAAATATATTTTATATCTCAATTTACGCTTGATGAGAAAAACTGGACTGTAGTATAAAGTATTCTTCGTTCAGCTTTGCGATAAGTGTATGTAATACAATGTGACGTTTCCATTAATTTCTTAATCTCTATATATAGGTTACCTTCAAATACGAATCCAGGTAACGATGTCCATGGCCTGTATAAATACGTCACCTCCTATATGAATTATCCTGCTGCTTTATATTACGTTTATTTTATGGCTTAATTACAAGAAGCAAATATAGTTACAGTAAACTCTCAATTTAGATCTGTCCTTTTTTGTCTTTGTAAATTTTTTTATATATATTTTTGAGTACATTGAAATAAAGTGGTCCAATAACAGAAGATGCCGAGTCAGCTGTCAAAAAAATAGTATTGACTTATATGTAAATAAGTACAAAATATTGTAGAAAATAATTATTTAACTACTTCATATGTCACCACCATGTCAATTTCTACGCAGTAAATTTAGGGTGTATTCCGTTGCTTACCTTGGTTATGGTTTTATGTTCCGTTTCTATCGGTTTTCTGAAAGTTTTCTTATTACGGAACACGGTTTCTAAAAAAATCGGTTATAACTGTCACCAAACTAACCAGCGCGAGAAGGCTGGTTTTTCTGATTTTGTTCGTCAATCAATGACTTGTGTCTAGCCCTAGCAGACAACTATTAAGACCGACCAATCACGTTAGAGTTTTTCACAAACACAAATGAATTAACACCCTTCAAATAACCACGCTAACCAACCTGATTGGTCAAGCTTAAAAGTTGACTGCTAGGGCTAGACACTTCTAATCAATGTCATTTATGTGAAAGAAATCAAACAAATATTGGAAGTTTGAGTGAAATTCTCATTTAATTTCTAAAATTTGTAATAATATTTTGTATTTACTACTGTATTTACTACTTTTTATTATTTTTATCCAAAAGCAATGGAGGTAGGCAGTAAAGGTAAATAAATTTCATTAATTAAATAGAATGACTTTTTAGGAACATTTAAACTTATCATGCAGCCATTCTTTCAAGTCAAGAACATTTAAAGGAAACATGAAAAACAAGACAACAAGTAATCGTGAATGTTTTGTAAACTATAAAAATATAAATATTGATTAGATTTGTTTATTTATTATTGATCTGTTTTAATACTGGTTCTGCAAATCTTCACTTGAGCTGTCTAACGAGTTTAACAGATTATTAATAAAGTATTTTTCAATATTAAACTCCATTGAAAAGAAGAAGCAAAAATGCATAAAATTTTATAATAGAGGTATTGAAATTTAGGAACAACATTTGACGTTTCCAATTTTACCAAACTGTTCCGTATCAAACCGATGTTTTTCAGGAACAGCTCTTTACCGTAGTTTACCGGCCTGGTTCGCCTGGTTTTGCAACGGAATACAGCCTTATATTTTAATTTGTATTGCATTATTGAAGTGAAACTTCTTTACGCGCGATGGGAGTAAAAATTCAAGGCCGTGACACACCAAGGCCTTGACACGACATGATTTTGATAATGCTTTGAGGCACGAGCTAGCTGGGAAAAAAGTATTAAAGATCGCGCAAACACAAAAAACATTTGATTTAAAATTAAGAAAAGCTATAATAAACTTGATACTGTCCTCTGGTTGTGTGCTAGGAAAAAATTGCATTTTCATTGGAGGACATCGTCATTTATTATTTATTTCAAACCAATAATCAACGGGAATATTCGTATAATTTGACAAAATTACTGTAAACCACTATAAACACGAAGCTTAGTAGTAGTATATTGGTTTAATGGCCACAGCTGCCAGGACTATCCGGCCAACAAAGCTTCTAAATTTTTTCTCTTCTAAACAAATTTAAGCGTTAACATTAATAGGCATATGTATAAAAGTGTGTAATTTGGGTGGTGTTCAACAAAATTTGCAGGCTATTGAGGAAACAGAAAATGTACAGATTGCAGAAATAAATTGAAAATAATATTTATATTAAAACACCATTATATGTCATTTTTTCAAACATGCCCTTTAAATCCTCCAGTTTAATAGCTGTTAGTAAGAAGTATCACTTCAAATAAATATGCGCACATAGTGCACACAATTTTTTTTTATATTAGGTCCCAGTCTATCCTGACAAACAGTGTAAATGTAAAAAAAGTCAAGTGCAAATGGCAATTTTCCATGATCGAAAACAGTTCGACAAAGTTGGTATTTTGCTCACTCGTCTTCGTTCTTTTTAGGTGGAAAAGTTCCTAAAATCGACAGCCATAGAAGTCGATTTCGATAATGAAGTTACGGAGAGCGGCAAATACGCACCGCGGTTCCTCGACGAAATTGCCGGCGAGATCGACATTATCGAGGACAAAAAAGACACCCTCTTTAGTAAGTAAAAATAAAGAAATTAGTAATAAGTCTTTAGAAAAAAATAGTACTTGGCTTTCTTTTAATCTGAGCATCCGAGGTAAAGAAACACCGAAAAGAAATCGAGAAGCTTATACAGGGTTGTTCACCACATACGACACGGAGTATTGTAGCTAAACGATTACATTTTTACAAATTGAAAGTTTTGGGTTCGTTGAAGGACTATTAGAGCTACAATTTAAAAATATTTTTACAAGCTACAGAGTGTCCCGATTAAATAAAAAATATCAAAGTTTTATTTTTTTAAATAGAACACCCTGTATATTATTACTTTTTAGTTTCTACGATTAAAATAAAGGTAAATTTGATAACGGTTTATTACACTTAAACCTTACCGTTTTTGAAATATTTTCAATTTTGTGAAATTGCAGTCAAAATTTTAAGGCTTCATTTCTCCAAGGGTATCAAAATTTTTAATACTAAATATTTACTGAAGTTTATTTATTGATAACTTATTGTGTTGCAATAATAAAAATTATACTACCTTATACAGAGTGTCTATAGTTTTATTTTAAATAATTACTAGTTTTAAACGGCAATAACTTGTTTAATTTAAATGGAACATCCTGTATATTTTATGAGAATCAGATGCACAGTTTAATTGTCTATCAAATTGTATTATACCACTTTTTACCTATCTCTTCAAGTTTCCGTAGAAAATGCATTTTCTTTTAATTTAGAACTCATTTATCAATATACCCATGGAATACTGACATTTTAGATTATTTTTAAAGATGTATCAAATTTTTAAAGAGTACAGGTATTAATATTGTCGATATAGTTTGTTTATTTCATTAAAAAATAAAAAAAAACTGTTTAAATATTTGTTAAAGAGGACCAAATAATATGATTCCAGTATTCAAACTACATTAAATTGACTGTTTGCGTTGATTAATAATAAATTGCTCCAAATACTAAGAAACTGAATTTTGTATGTGTATTAGACAGTGGAATAAAAACACCTTAAAAATGATATTTCATTATTTGACAAATGCTTATTTATAACAACAGAGACATTCATTTTCATAACTTATTATTATATTGACTTCTGATTCAAATCCACATTTATTCAGAATTATTTATTAACGAACATAATTAAGTATGTAATTAATTAGTTGGGGCGGAAATAATGGTGGTATATTTAATTAATGGTATACTCTTTTATAAAGATTTAAATAATTTTCTTTGGGCTAGTAATATTATCATTTTGCTAAAAACGATAATATTACTAGCCTGTATATTTTGTAGATTTGTTGCTTTAAAAACAATCTAAAATGTCAATATTCCATGGGTATATTGATATATATAAATGAGGTCTAAATTATAAGAAAATGAATTTTCTAATAATTTCCGAAAAATTTTTGGAAAACTCTGTCTCTAATAGTTTCTGAAAAATAAAATTAATTTTTTTAAAAATGTCCGATTAAATGAATATCTCCGAAACTAAAGTTCCAAAAAAAAGTAATATATCTAGAAATTCATTTACCCACTAGTAGATATAAAAATCATTTTTGGAAAACTCTGTCTCTAATAGTTTCTGAAAAATAAAATAATTTTTTTTTAAAAAGGTCCGATTAAATTTATATCTCCGAAACTAAAGTTCCAAAAAAAATCGTAATATATCTAGAAATTCGTTTACCCACTAGTAGATATAAAAAGCATTTTTGGTAAACTCTGTCCCTAATAGTTTCTGAAAAATAAAATTAATTTTTTTAAAAAGGTCCGATTAAATTTATATCTCCGAAACTAAAGTTCCAAAAAAATTCGTAATATATCTAGAAATTCATTTACCCACTAGTAGATATAAAAAGCATTTTTGGTAAACTCTGTCTCAAATAGTTTCTGAAAAATAAAATTAATTTTCTTAAAAAGGTCCGATTAAATTAATATCTCCGAAACCAAAGTTCAAAAAAATTCGTAATATATCTAGAAATTCTTTTACTCGCTAGTAGATATAAAAAGCATTTTTGGTAAACTCTGTCTCTAATAGTTTCTGAAAAATAAAATTAATTTTTTTAAAAATGTCCGATTAAATGAATATCTCCGAAACTAAAGTTCCAAAACAATTCGTAATATATTTAGAAATTCATTTACCGACTATTAGATATAAAAAGCATTTTTGGTAAACTCTGTCCCTAATAGTTTCTGGAAAATAAAATTAATATTTTTAAAAAGGTCTGATTAAATTTATCCGAAACTAAAGTTCCAAAAAAAAATTCCGAAAACTTGAAGGGATAGATAAAAAGTGGTAGGTATAATACAATTTGATAGACAATTGTGCATCTGATTCTCCTAAAATATACAGGATGTTCCATTTAAATTAAACAAGTTATTGCCGTTTAAAGCTAGAAATAATTTAAAATAAATTTTTAGAGACTCTGTATGAGGTAGTATTATTTTTATTATTGCAACAAAATATCTAATCAATAAATAGACTTCAGTAAATATTTAATATTAAAAACTTTGATACCCTTGGAGGAATGAAGCCTTAAAATTTTGACTGCAATTTCACAAAATTGAAGATATTTCAAAAACGGTAAGGTTTAAGTGTAATAAACCTTAATCAAATGTACCTTTATTTTAATCGCAGAAACTAAAAATTTAATAATATACAGGGTGTTCCGTTTAAAAAAATACAACTTTGATATTTTTTATTTATTTGGGACACTCTGTATCTTGTAAAAATATTTTTAAATTGTAGCTCTAATAGTCCTTCAACGAACCCAAAACTTACAATTTGTAAAAATCTAATCATTTAGCTACAATACTCCGTGTCGTATGTGGTGAACAACCCTGTATATTCCAGATGAAAAACCACAAGGTTTAGAATCAAAGGAGACCCATTCAATGAGACATTTTTCAGTGAATTTTGCTTGCAACAAAATTTCTGTAACCATGAAAAACAAATTATATCTTAACACATACATTTCCCTTTATAGTTTGCAGGGGCGTGCGGTGAAATTTTAAGTTAGGGAAGCAATTTTTAGAAACTTACCTATTTGTAATGTAATTCGAGTCTTCGATCAATTTTTGCAAATTCGTCGATTACGTCATCATAAAAACGTGGATGCTCCGACATGTTTTGGGGAAGTTTATTTTCGATGAACAACAGCGATATACTCGCGAAAGTTTCTCCTGACGAAATTTTTTATACGTTTTCTTTAAAAATTTCAAAATACTGACTCCTCCTTCTTTATTCATTTTTGAATCCGTTTGCTTAATCCCCAAGCACATATATCTGCTATTCCCGAAAGGTCATCTCATAACTATCCATTTAGGAATGCGGAGCACTATCTTTATCTGCCAACCCCGAGCTTAGAACTAGTTAAAGGTTCAATACTGTACAATGCCAAAAAATGTATCAAGTCGCTTTCGTTCTTTCCCGCATTTCGCAAAGCTCTGAAATCATACTTACTGGAGAGAGCCCTATATGCGGTAAACGACTTTTTTGTTGATGTTTAATCATGAACAATTTTGAATTTTGAACTTTTGATCATCTCACACACTGGTCAAAGGTCAAGTATTTAATAAAATCTCTTAAAATCATATCTATTTACTGCTTACTGTTCTGAAATTGTCCATATATGTTCGGTTTGTAATTTTAATGACTTAAATTTTTTTGAACTGTATGATTTTTATTGTGTATTTTTTGTTGTTAGTATATTTTTTGTGCTTTTGTTTGTTTTGTGAGTGCTTTGTCGATGAAGCTGTTTTATCTTTTTGCACACTAAAGCGTGGTTTGTTGTTGCTGTTGTAAAGGTTGAAAAATTGCGTTCCACTGATGAACTTGTGGCAGGTGTTGTCAATACATATTTATACAATTTTGACACTTCGGTGTAGGGATCTTCTAGCTCCTTGTCTTTTAAAAATTGCATTAGTTCTCTAGCGTTATTTTTTACAATAATGTCATCAGTTTCGTAAATCACGTTTAGTTCAAATCGCAGAAACACACGGTCGAAGTAGTGGCCATAATGACGAAGAAGATATTTTATGCATCAAAATTGCAGAGCTCGAGGAATTTAAAATCATTTAAACCGATAAATTTACAGTTTATTTGTTACTACTAAACAAAAAAAAGTACTATTAAACTTGCTTCTCTACAGTGTAATAAGGTTATGATTATTTTGTTTCAATAAAAGAAGTATAAATTAAATCGTTCAATCTAATTCAAAGTAAATTAGATTTTGTATTGAAAATACTGATATGTAGGTAGTTGCACATGTAGCTTTAACGTGTAGTGTCACGTGATGACTTGTAAACAACATCAAATTTTTAATCTCTTGACAAAAAGAAGTTTTCTATGAAGATATTTAATAACGCAAATAAAAAAGAAATCTTTTAAATGACTGAATATAAAATATACAGGGTGGTCCGAACTGTATTCCAGAAACTTCGGCAGCATATTCTGCAAATAAAAATAAGTAAAAAAGTTCGTATAAATGTATGTCTTAAAATGCTTAGTTTCTGAGATACAGGATGTAGAAATTTTATTTCGACTTTTTCCAAATAATTTCTGAAGTAACGTCAATATTTATATGAAAATTGGTATCTAGGAGTTTTTTGACTAGAGAAATTGGATTTTGATGTCAATATGACTCCTACTTGTAGAGGGCGCCACCTACATGTGTTTTAACTGTTTTGAAGAGTAATAACTTTTCGTTCGTACCTGTATAAAACTACTGAGAGGAAAAATATACACTTCCGTGATTTTTTACGTAAAAAATGTCTCTTGGTAAAAATCGCTACGACCAACCGTTCTCAAGATATTTTAAATCGAAATAGGCAATACATGTCATTATTGACAAAAAATAAACATGTTGAGTAGATAGTTATTTGACTGAAATGATAAATTTGGAAATTTTCTATTTTTTTTATTAATCATAAATTTTTCTTCGAAAAAATGATGATAAAACAGTTTCTGTTGACTTTTCACACAAAATCATTTCAAATTTAATATTTCAGTCTAATAATTATTTAGTCGACATGTTTAATTTATGTCAATGTTGACATGTATTGATAATTAAGACTCCAAATTTTTCGAGAACCTTCATAAATGTGTATTTTTTTACTCAGTAGTTTTACACAGGTACGGACGAAAAGTTATTATTTTTCAAACCAGTTAAAAAATATGTAGGTGGCGCCCTCTACATGTAGGAGTCATATTGACATCAAAATTAAATTTTTCATGTCAAAAAACTCCCAGATACCAATTTTCATCCAAATATTGACGTTACTTCAGAAATTATTTGGAAAAAATCGAAATAAAAATGAAACTTCTACACCCTGTATATCCAAAACTGAGCATTTTAGGACATACATTTATATGAACTTTTTTACTTATTTTTATCTGCAGAATATGCTGCCGAAGTTTCCGGACTACAGTTCGGACCACCCTGTATATCTGAAAATATAATTCCGAACAAATAGATTTTTTTTCTAAAAAAATATATGAAACTTATATATTTTGTATTATTTGCTCAGAAAAAAGGCTAATATTTAAAATTACTTGCTTTGGTTAATCCAAATATCCTAAAAGCTTTTATTAACTCAAATTTCAAAAATAAAGCTTTATCAAATATTCTTTATTTTTAGGATTTGTTTACACATCTCCGTTCTGTCTTGTTTAAGCTATGATTAAAATGAAATAAATACTGTACATACAGATAAAGTAACTGAAAACTCGAAAATATCACTGAGATGCTTCCATTAAAATTAAATGACTTAAAAATATATATAAAAGCGTTATTACTAGTTTTTTTATTAATTATTTATTTTATTAGCTTTGTCTAGGTTCAATATGTAGTTTTTGCTTTGTTTAGATTTTTAATGTGTGATCCTACGTGTTTCTTGCCTGTCAATAATATGTGAATGGACGCTATGAAAGTTTTATCAGGAATCTTTTTATCACAGCAAGACAAAAATACGACATTTATATCATGTTTCGTTATTTATTCTTTTCTTATTTTCACTATTTACTTTTTTATCTTATTTGTCAGCCTTCGCCAATTATCTTCCTTATTTTTCTTTATACGAGACCACCCAAATAAAGAAAAGTAAACAAAATAATGACGCTAAATAATCAAAAAATACTAGCTCACTTTATCTCAGAAAAGACTTCCATAAAATAACTTCAAGTACTCCTCCTAGACGTTCCGAATGAACAGAAAAAAGAAAATTCATTCGATTTTTCGGAAAAACGGTCTGGAAAACTAGACAATCGTCGACACGCGACAATACGCCGAAGAATAACCCAGTTCTCGTCTGGTTTTCACAACACAGGAATGCGTTTAGCATGCTTTTGTCGTTTAAATGACAGCATTTTTCTATGAAAGAGATATCGAACAAAGTGGCTGCTGATAAATGAGTGTTTGAAAGGATTTGCCGAACCGAATGCGTAATTTATTTCGGATTGGTTGAAACGAAGTTGAAATAATTGTTTTTCATTATGTATTGTTTTTAGTTCCTTTCTCTGTATTGATTAGTTCTTTTGTATAGCTATTTTTTCATGGGTTTCAGGAATGATTTGTGAAAATAATAAAAAGGCTGTATGCTAAAAAAATAAACGAATGTTTAAAGCTGAAGTAGCTAATTATTTACTATCTTATTATCTATCGGGTGTTCCTCGAAAGTGGCTCAACCCTATAACTTAATATATGACATAAATCAGAATTGATTCACGTATTCAATTGTTTTCAGTTACTTCCTGTTTCACAGAAAATTATAAAACTTTTGATTTTTAAGTGGCACCCTGGGTATTTTTTTTACTTTATTCGATAGAAAGTGACATTGTGAATAGAATGACACATAGTATGTCAACTTTTGGCATTCTCAGTTAAAAAAATATAGTATTTTAATTTTCAATCTAGCGTACTATGATGGATGTGTTAAAAATACTAATTTTTAAATAAGGAGCTCAGGAAAAATAGATCTAATCGTTTAATGTTTTTCGTGTCTTGTCCTGGCCGGTTCAAAGATATCCAAATCGTATTTTTAATCATACCTCAATGTTTTCAAGTAGAACGAGGGACTCATTAGCATATTTGGAAAAAATATTTTTTCGGAATAATTTGATACCACCACTTGGGAAAATCTATTTACTGACCAGCATAATTTACTGACCAGCTTACATGCGTTACTACTATCTAAATACGTACAACTACCACCTTAATTTTGCTACTACCACCCAAAAATAAACTACTACCACTTTAATTTTGCTACTACCACCCAAAAATAAACTATTACCACCTTAATTTTGCCACTACCACCCAAAAATAAACTACTACCACTTTAATTTTGCTACTACCACCCAAAAATAAACTATTACCACCTTAATTTTGCTACCACCATCCAAAAATAAACAACTACCAAAATTAAGGTAGTAATTTGGGTGGTAGTAGCAAAGTTAAAGTGGTAGTAGTCTATTTTTGGGTGGTAGTAGCAAAATTAAGGTGGTAGTAATTTATTTTTGGGTACGTCAATCAATCCTGAATTATGTCATATAATAACATACCAAATCTTGTTTTTTTTATCTGAAAAAAATAAAAAAGTTATAGGGGTGAGCCACTTTTGAGACGCACCCGGTGTATTCTTTCTCTAATTACTCATCGTAAGTATATACATTAAAAATAGGGTTGTCATTTTAGTAAGTTAATTAATCAATTTTTTATAATACTTTCCTTTTCATTTGGCAAAAGACCGTATAAGGACAAGCTATAAACAAACAATTTATCAAGTAGGCTACGAAAAATACATTTTGACATTTAGTGCTGTGCAAATAAGTTTCCAAATAGTCTAAACTTAAATTTCATGATGTCATCTCGATAAAATGGGAAGTTATTCTTACTATGCATCATAAGTCAATTTTTTGCAAATAAAGGGTAGGTAATTTATCATTGAAAACTATTATTGAATCAATAAATTTTACTAAATATATGTTGATTAGACAAATACTTGTCTGCCTTTAGTAATTATTTTTGTTTTTACATTGAGAAAGAGCAAATATTGCTTAGATTACAGTTGGAGGTTGGAACATATGTTGTTACAACACTGATTGACGACAATACACCAAAAAAACTTTACTGTTGCACTAGACGCGCCTTTTGTTAACCATGTTAACAACATCAGCAGATGATTAAGACTCAAAATCAGTTTTAATCATTTGCTGAAGATGATAACATGGCTAACGCGCGTCCAGTGCAAAAGTAAATTGTTTTGATGTATTGGGGTGAATTAGTTTCATCTTGCTATTGCTTAGATGCCTAAAAATGGGTTTACTTATGAAAACTAAAAACACAGTTTCAAATTGTTTCTTTCAAAATTCGACCAATAATCACAGTTTTTAATTATTTAATAATTTACACTTCTAATTTGACAGATACTCGAGAGAAATAGGTTGAATTTGACTGTGAAATATAACAGCAAAAACTGACGCAAAATTCAAACTTTAACTAAATCAATAAATAAAAGGGATATCTCAAATAATACATCCTTTACCTGTAACACCGTGATACTCTATTTTGAAACGTCAAAAGTAGTCTACCAAAACCTATCAATTTTGCTTCAAACCCTGTATAATACACTTAATTAATGGAAATACCCGTTACCTTTCAGAGAGAAAACAACTGAAAAAACTTTTCATCCCCATGCTCTTAATCCTGAAGCTTTTCAAACTGAAGCTGTTGCTGTTCCTGCCTCTAATTTTAGGATTGGCCTCCTTTAAGAAAGTCCTAAGTTTCTTGGCCATTCTTATTCCAGGTAAGCGAATTAAAATATTTCTATAGCGTTGACAGGCTAAGGCTCTCAACGATAAAGGTTTTGAAAGAAAAAATTTAAAGCTCATTGAAAAAGTTATTATTAAAAAAAATATATTTTTAATGAGTTTCTTTTTAAGAAGGTCAGGATTTTAATGAGACGATTAGAAAAGTTCAAATTAATTTTCTTTGTTACTAAAGTTACTATAAGAATGTTAGAATAGCATGTCATTTCCATCAACCAAAGTTACATGCAAATTGAAATACACTCAGATGCAAAAAATGCAACGCAAAATTTTTTCTTCAGTTTTAAAGTGTTATTTTTTTTAGTTTTAGCCTTATTTTCATAAAATTTTTAGCAAACTGTATACAGGGTGTTTCAAAAAACATGTGCAATCTGTCGTGGGGAGATTCCTCACGTAAAAATAAAATTTATTTTTCATATCAACATGGGTCTACAGGGTGTTAAAGTCTTAATTATCTTTAGATTTATGATAATTTTCTTCCAAGTACTTTTAGTGATTCGAATAAAATTTTCAGTGTAAACGTTACTATATGTAATACATATTTTAATGCCAAAAAAGTGTCGATAAATTCATCAGGGACGCGCATATTAGACACTGGAACATTTTTCAAAAAATAAACATGTGCGCCACTGATTTTTTTCTTTTGATATCAAACTTGTGTAGGCCGTTTAATGGCAATTAAAAGTTATCTCTTGATATTTTGTCGAATTTGGCCTCCTTGATGAGATAAACGCAATTTTATTAATCACAATTAAGAAAATTAAAATAAAATTAATAAATTATATATTTTACCCCCAATTTATTATTAAATATTATTACCATTAGTTATTATTACTATTAGTCAAACCTACAGCAATTCCAAATAAAAAAATAATGGTATTTAAGATAATTACATAAAACCTAAGTTTTATTTCCGTACCCATATTTATAGAAACTTTTTTTCATATTTTTTGATGAGGAATCAATGAGTACTTATTTAAAACTTTCGCAAGTTAATGATATTATTTTTTCTTACAAGTTGCTATTAGACTTGGATCAAGGCAAATTAAAAAAATTGCGTTTATCTCATCAAGGAGGCCGAAATCGATAAAATATCAAGAGACAACTTTTAATCGGCATTAAACTACTTACACTATTTCGCTAACAAAAAAAATAAGTGGCGTACATGCTTTCTTTAGAAAAATACGATTATTTCAATGATAACCCATATGCACGTCCCTGGTGAATATGTTTACACATTTTTAGCTTTAAAATATGTCGCATTTATAGTAACTTTTACCCTCAAAATTTAATTCGAAACGCTAAAAGTACTTAAAATAAAAATAAATTGAAAAAATATTAAGACTTAAACACCCTGTAGCTACGAAATAAAGCAGAATCGGACCTATGTTGATATGAAAAATAAATTCTATTTTTACATGGGGAATCTCTTCATGAGAGATGGCACATGTTTTTTGAAACACCCTGTATAAATCTATCAACTTTCATTCATAAACTCAGTTTTTATAAACTTTAGTATTTGGCTTATTATACATGATTAATAGATTGCTTTTTACACTAAATTTAAAACACCCTGTGCAATAATTTCAAGAGTAACTTTTCCTAAAATATTATTTTTCAATCAAAACCATGTCTCCTGAGCATTTTGTTCTTTGATTCATGTCAACACATGCCTTGGTTAATTTTTAAGAGCGAAATGAACTTGCCACCAACAATTTGCAATTTTTTCAATCATTACTTTTATGATGTTATTTTTTAATATCACTAGGTGGCGTTGGTGACTGCTGCCGTAATATCATATCGACACTGATTAGAACTAGTGATGGGAATACCGGTTTCACATGATTCGCGTTACAATAGCGACCGCGACAAAATACCGCGATTTTGTAACCGAGGTTCCGATTTTCAAAGTGTTGCGGTCCTCGCTAAAAATATATCTAACTTATCTATATTTGTAGATTAATGTAACTTTTATGCGCCACTCATTTTCCAAATATCGATTTTATAATTATTGTGTATAGCCAATCTATCTCATTTTTAGAAAAACGATAACATTCATTGTTATTTTCTTTTCTTTATCAATTTTCGTTTAAATAAAATAAATGAACGGCTCACATTTATGTGTATTGCAATATAATATATTTAATGTTAAAATCAAGAACAAAGTCCAAACCACTGTCAAAATTGTTTATTGGTCTAACCTAACCATAAAAATAGATATAAACAATAAAACTTACATAAATGTATAAAAGCAAGTAAAATATTTTTATTTTATTTTATTTGCTTTTGCGTTTCATCTTTCAAACAACACTATTTTATACCATGCCTAGTACATACCAAAAATCGCTATTTCGAAAGTAACGTAGCGACGGGAGCACCAACGCCAATAGTACCCGACTTGACCCAACCAAATCGCGACAGGCAAAGCGTCGATAATCAGTTACAGCAGTTACTTCTGTTCGCGACAGGGCACGAAAACTCTAGGAGCGCGACGGCTGGAGCGAAGTAGGTCGCCGCCGAGGTCGAGCGTCGATGCCCAGTAACAGGAGTTACCTCTGTTCGCGACAGGGAACTACAACTCTAGGAGCGCGACGGCTGGAGCGAACACGTCCTGTGCCCGTATTCTGTAACTTTGACATAAAAACGTTACGCTTTCAAAGCGATGAGCCCAAGTATTCGATCAGCGAAACGTAAGGCAGTCGATTTTGGTATTCTCGTTGCTATGCGAATCGTGTTCTGGATACGCGTTGAGTACATATTGGCAACATCACAATTTCTAATGTAGCTAACAGTCAAAAGTTGATCACTGACGGATGTAACAATGAAAAATGTCAATGTTACGTGAATTTCATAACCTATTGGTGAGTTATGTCAAGGTATTTTTCTATGGATATGTCATTATTCTTATTATACGAGGGAAGTGTTGAAGCTTGATGGAAGTGTTGATCCTTTAAGGCAACCGTTTTCAAAGCGCTTAGCGTAATTAGTAAAGACGCCAAGCGCGTCAAATGAGAATACCCAAATCGGTAGTTAAGTGCGCGCTCAGCGAAAATTAACGTTATATACGCTGAGCGTCTAAAAGCGCTTAGCATTTTCAAAGTTACAGAATACGGGCCCTGATCGAGCGCGGCGCTACGGACATACCAGTTCCAGATACTACTGTTGGCGACCGACGAAATCGCGACGGCTGGAGCTAAACACGTCGCTGTTCGGTCACTTCTGTTCGAGCTAACTTCAAGTGCGATTATAAATAATTTATAATTTTGTCGTCATTATTTTAGTTCGTCGTTCTTCAGTAACAGGTTCCTGATTCGTTGTGGAGCGCGACACGACGTTACAAAGAAATACAGCTCCAAAATCGCGTTACTCAAATACCAACACACTAATAAATCACTAATTAGAACTCTATATTAAAATTTAAAAAACGTTAAAAAGTATATAACGACACAGGCTTGATTTTTATAAATATTATTAACACCAACAGAACTAAGGATATTAAAAAAAATAACTGTAATAACTAAGTATACAAACAAACAAAAAACTTGCAAAATAGTCTAATACTTTGTATTGCCTCCCTCGTCTGCTATAACTATCTGTAGACGTCGGTTCATATTGTTAATGGGGCTGCAAATATATTGTGTTGTGTTTTCCTATTTTCTTCAAGGACCAAGTGAATATTCATAATTTTTGGCCATTTTCAATAACATCAATGACTTTTGCACAATCTTCGACACTAAAAATCATATTCAACCGTACACAACAATTACCACCAAAGCCACCTTGCCATTATGAAGAATAACATAAAAAAATAACAAAAATTGAAAAAGTTGCAAAATGTTTGCGGCAAGTTCATTTTGCTCTTAAAAATTAACAAAGGCACCAATTCGAAAAAATAATGCTTTAGGAAAATTTGCTCACGAAATTGCACAGGGTGTTTTAAAGATAGGGTAAAAAACAACTCTTTGATTAACCCTGTATAATAAGTCAAATACTAAAGTTTATAATAAACTGAACTTACGAATTAATGTTGATACATTTATAAAATGTAGCTAAAAAAGTCAAGGAAATAGGGCTAAAAATTAAAAAAAAATATCATTAAAAAAAACTTAACCAAAAATTCTTCCGTTGCGTTTTTTACATCTTAGGGTATATTGTGATAATTTTTGTGTGTTTTAAATTATGTGAGATAAGAATCATAATAGAAATAATAGAGTCAAGAAAAAAAATAAAAAAACTAAAATAATTAAATAACAATATTAAGAAACAAAAATAATAATATAATTTTATCGTACGAAAATTAAGATAAAGAAGTCTATATTATTACAAGTCTATATTATTAGAAGTCTATACTATTAGTAATAGGTGGTTTTTATTTCATTTGGAGAGCAGCTGTATCATACTTTTTATTTTAAGATATACAGGGTGGTCCGAAACGTGTTCCGGAAACTTCAGCATATTTTACTGATAAAAATAAGTAAAAAAATTCATATAAATGTATGCCCTAAAATGATTAGTTTCGGAGATACAGGGTGTAAAAATTTCATTTTTATTTCGATTTTTTTCAAAAAATTTCTGAAGTAACGTCAATATTTGGATGAAAATTGGTGTCTGGGAGTTTTTTGACATGATAAATTTGATTTTGATGTCAATATGACTCCTATTCGTAGGGGGCGCCCCCTACATGCGTTTTAACTGTTTTGAAGAGTAATAACTTTTTGTCCGTACCTGTATAAAATTACTGAGTGAAAAAATATACATTTCCGTGATTTTCTACGTAAAAAATGTCTCTTGGTAAAAATCGCTACGAGCGACCGTTCTCAAGACATTTACAATGGAAATAGTCAATACATGTCATTATTGACTAAAAATAAACATGTTGAGTAGATAGTTATTTGACTGAAATGCGAAATTTTGGAACTTTTTATTTTTTTAAACTAATCATAAATTTTTCTTCGAAAGAATGATGATAAAACAGTTTCTGTTGAACTTTTGGCACAAAAACATTTCTAATTTATGATTTTAGTCTAATAACTAATTAGTCAACATGTTTAATTTATGTCAATGTTGACAGGTATTGGTAATATTCCAAATATCTCGAGAACCATTACTCGCTATTTAACTAGCTAGTTTTATACAGGTACGGACAAAAAGTTATTACTCTTCAAACCAGTTAAAAATACGTAGGTGGCGCCCTCTATAAGTAGGAGTCATATTGACATCGAAATCAAATTGTCATGTCAAAAACCTCCCAGACACCAATTTTTATCTAAATATTGACGTTGCTTCAGAAATAATTTGGAAAATATCGAAATAAAAATGAAACTTCTACACCCTGTATCTCCGAAACTAAGCATTGTAGAACATACATTTATATGAACTTTTTTACTTATTTTTATCTGCAGAACATGCTGCCGAAGTTTCCGGAATACAGTTCGGACCACCCTGTATTAAGAGAGGAGATATGATTAATTATTTAGTTTGGAATAACAGTGACAGTATTTCTATAAAATATATTTGTTAAACAACATAGAAAAATTAACTAAACTAACTCTAAATTATCATACGTTTTTTTGCAACGTTGTTTAATCGAGTTAACATGCTTTTTACTTTTAAAAATATCCAAAGGCTTTAAAAAGCCATTAATATCGCCTCGCGCGGGCTCTGATACTCCAGACAATTTAAATCAATTTTCGTTTTAATAAGCCTTTAGCTGCTCGATTTTATACCAATTATCACCTATCAATAGGCCTAAAAGGTTCCATTGACATGAAATTACTTTCTTTTTTCTGCCTTCCTGTGTTCGTTTCCAAATTAGTCATTCGTATGCGAAAAAAAAAAGGTTGAAAGTCACTGTACTGAATATATGAAGTAAATTGCGCTCTTCATCATGGTACAAAAATGTAAAATGTTAAATTATGGAAATGCCTTTTATTTACCTTGATTGCGATGCTACTAATAAAGTTCATTTTTACCGTTGAAAATATAAAATTACCAAGAACGGTATTACCAGAATATACTAAATAATATACCTTTATGGCGGGTTTACTTTTTTGAAAAAATCCTGGATATTTCGCTACTGAAAGAGGAATCTGAAAAAAAGTTATTTTTTTTCTAAACACCACTGGGTAGAATCCAGATGGATACTAATAAATAAATATACAGAGTTGTTAAAGGACTAGATTTTTACAAATTGTAAGTTTTGGGTTCGTTGAAGGACTATTAGAGCTACAATATAAAAATATTTTTACAGGATACAGAGTGTTCCAAATAAATAAAAAATATCAAAGTTAAATTTTTTTAAATTGAATACTCTGTATATTATTACATTTCTAGTTTCTACTATTAAAATAAAAGTAAATTTGATTAAGGTTTATCACACTTAAACCTTACCGTTTTTGAAATATTTTGAATTTTGTAAAATTGCATTAAAAATTTTATGGCTCCGTTTCTCCAAGTGTATCAAAGTTTTTAATACTAAATATTTACTGAAGTTTATTTTTATTAATCAGTTATTTTGTCGCAATAATAAAAATAATACTACCTCATAGAGAGTACCTAAAATATATTTTAAATAATTTCTCGTTTTAAACGGCAATAACTTGTTTAATTTAAATGGAACACCCTGCATATTTTAGGAGAATCGGATGCACGATTTAATTTTCTATAAAATTGCATTATATCACTTTTTATCTATCCATTCAAGTTTTTGTAGAAAATGCATTTTCTTATAATTTAGACCTCATTTATCAATATACCCACGGAATATTGATATTTTTGATTGTTTTTAAAGCAACAAATGTACAAAATATACAGGCGCTAAAAACTATAATATTACTAGCCCATTTGTGTAAAAAAAAATATTTAAATCTTTATAAAAGAGTATACCATTAATTAAATGTACCAATATTATTTCCGCCTAAATCTTAATTAATTAACAAAATATTCTAAATAAATGTGGATCTAAATCAGAAATCAATATAATAATAAGTTATGAAAATGATACTGTTATAAATAAGCATTCATCAAAAAATGAAGTAACGTTTTTAAAAGGTGTTACTTTCTACCACACTGTCTAATATACTTACAAAATACAGTTTTTTTAGTAGGTATTTGAAGCAATTATTATTAATCAACGCAAACAGTCAATTAATGTAGTTTGAATACTGGAATCATATTAATTGGTCTTCTTAAAAAAAATTAAACAGTTTTTTTTTATTTTTAACGAAATAAACGAACTATATCGACAATGTCAGTATCTGTACTCTTTAAAAATTTGTTACGTCCTTAAAAATAAGCTAAAATGTCAATATTCCATGGGTATATTGATCAATGAGGACTAAATTATAAGAAAATGCTTTTTCTACGAAAACTTGAAGAGATAGCTAAAAAATGGTATAAAACAATTTGATAGACAATTAAATTATGCATCTAATTCTCATAAAATATAGAGGGTATTCCATTTAAATTTAACAAGTTATTGCCGTTGTTATTGTTGATGTTATAGTAATTATTTAAAATACATTTTTAGACACTCTGTATAAGGTAGTATAATTTTTACTATTGCTACACAAAATTTAGTTAATAGAAATATTTCAGTACAATATTTGGTTTTAAAAACTTAAATGCGCTTAGAGAAATGAAGCATTAAAATTATTGGTGTATTTTGACACAAACCTAAATATTTCAAAAACGGTGAGATTAAAATGCGGTAAACCTTAATCAAACTTACCGTTATTTTAATCGTAGAAACTAAAAATATAATAATATAAAACATTGATATTTTTTATTTATTTGGGACACTTTGTATCTTGTAAAAATATTTTTAAATTATAGCTCTAATTCAACGAACCCAAAACTTTGCAAAAATCTAATCGTTTAGCTACAATAATACTCCTGTCGTATGTGGTTAACAACTCTGTATACTAAATAATAATACAATATATTAATCAATTATTTTAATGTATTTCTAAAATTTTATGAATATTTTAGATTTTAATTCAAAATTGAGAACTAAAAATTATCAAACAATGTGCATTTTTTATGTGCAAACGAAGGAAAACAACCGAACCCCTGGAAAGCATTTTTGAAACCGTATTTTCCATGTAGGAGTAAAGGAGAAAATGAAAAATCAATGATTAGAAATCAAAAGAATTGTATTTCCAGATTTTTCAATTTTCTCTAATCAATCGCAAAAACTTTAGTATGAATATAAATTATTTTTTCTCGCAAATAGTTTAAAAAAAACTAAAAATAGATATATTCGTAAAGCAGGTTAATGCCAATAAATGTTAAACAAATCTTTCTCCACAAATCTTATTTCCTTACTATCAACACGTAAATAACTTGGAGCGTAAGATTTATATCTCGATTTAAAATCAGTTTCTCCCGCTTTATTGGTATCCTGTTCCGTCGGCACATTGACTAATGCTGGGCGGGTTTCTATTTCAGGACTTATTGCCTACTTTAAATTCTGCAAGCCGAACCTCCAGTCCACCTTTGGCCCCGGCCAGTTTGCCGGACCCCATTACAGTCCAACGGGAGTAGCCTATCCGACGCATTTTAGGTAAGATCATTTTTCAATTTCATCCTCTCGACGTCGATGAACATTAACATGCTTTTTGTCAATAAATATTCGTCTGAACCATACAGATTTTAATAATACGAAATTATGATTTACATTAAATAAGAACCAAGCAAATTTTATCCAATAACTTAATGTATGATTGCAACAAAAATATTCCTAAAACTAAAAGAGTTTCGGACTTCTGGCTTCGATATTTTAATGAGACTTTTATAATCTTGAACGGAACCGAAGACAGTTGGATTCCTTTTTTATCATTTTAATTCACAAAATGACTCAATCAGATTCACGATTGAGAAAGAGAAAAACTTCTGTCTACCGTCTCTGGATGTTAAAAATAAGCAATTCAAAACAAAATAAAGCACTAATTTACCAAAATGTTTTACTTTTGCACTGGACTATGTTGAATGTAGAATGTTTAGGGGGGAGTTAATCACCGCAATCTTATATATCTATTGTGTGTTCCCCTTTCTTGAGTTATAACCAGTTATAACTCCTCATACAGTCTCAAGGCTTTAGCAAAAGCCAGTATCTGAGACGGCTCCACGGAGGCCAGCTCTCCATGCTCGACATCAGCCGTACCAAAATTCATGGCACGAATGGTCGTCGTCTCGGCGCACTCAGTGATAAGATGTTCTGGTGTTTCCCCATTTTCCCCACAGAATCTGCATTCGCCGTTGTTTCTCAGCTTCAGCCTACTGAGGTTTTCGTTGAGGAGACAGTGTCCTGTTAGAAACCCCGTGACAATCCGAAGATTGTTTTTACTTAAATCAAGGAAAACCTTTGATTTATCTCGGCCTTAAGTTTCGAGGAACTTTTTCGAGTGTCTTAGACCGTTGGAGGACACCCAATCCAAGTTACGGATGGAGTCTCCCAGATTCATCAGTTTCGCTCTCAGTTGGTTCCCGTTTGGAAAACAGAACGGTTCTGGTCCAGTTAGTGGAGTATTCGCTTCTTTCCTAGCTAGATCATTTGCTTTTTCATTGCCTTCTATCCCTTGGTGAGCAGGCACCCAGAGTAGGAGGACTTTATTTTCTTTGTCTTATTTGTTGAGCTTCTCTAGGCATTCTTTGATCAACTTCGAATTGATGGTTACTGAGTTGATCGCGTTAAGTGCTGCTTGACTATCGGATAGGATAGCAATTTCCTGTTTTTGATAGGTCCTATCTGATTGTACGCATCTTTCGATAGCGTAAATTTCTAGCTGAAGGATACTGGGGTAGGTGCCCATTGGTTCGGAGTATTTAGTTTTCGGTCCAAATACTCCTATCCCTGTCCCTGCTATGGTTTTGGAAGCGTCAGTATACCACGTTATGGTATGGTCTTTTATATGCTGAGTAAGCGTTTCTTTCTTCCAATCCTTTTTATTACTCAATACCACAGTGATGTGTTTCTCAAAGTTGTAAATTCTTAGTATGTCATCCATTGGGAGTTGGAGAAGTGGAATTTTCTTTTTGAGGGCGTCCCAAGCCTGACCTGAAAATTCTCCCAGTACTGTTTCCGTCAATGACCATTCTAATCATTGTCGCATTGGCATAACTACCGACGACAATGTGCAATGGTGTTAGGTCTAGAATGACCTCAATTGCTGCTGTTAGACATGATCTCAAGGCACCTGTGACCTGTGATGCAAATACATGCCAGTCTCTGTACTTTGCACAGGTTTTGCCGTGCGTTGCTGTAATTTTGGATTCCAAGCAACTGCTCCATAAGTAATCATGTGTCTTACTATCATGGTATACATCCAGCGCAAAATGTTAGGACAGCAGCCCCACCTATTTCCCGCCAGTCTTCTGCTTATCATGAGAGCCTTTGTGGCTCTAATGTTCTTAATATGTCTGTTCCAGAGAAGTTTAATATCCAGGGTTATTCCCAGATATTTAATTTCCCTGTGATGGAAGTATTTCCTTTCCATATAGATGAATTCTTTTCAAGTTTTTCAAACTTCGCTTTCTGGTGAATGGCACTACCGCGGTTTTATCTGAGTTAATACTCAGCCCGACAGTCCTGCACCATCTCTCAGCGATGCGGAGTCCTCTTTGGATAATATCAAACAGGGTGCCTTCATGTTTCCCCCGTGCAATGATGACTATGTCATCTGCATAGCCTATGCAGTGTATTCCCGCTAAAGTTAATTCTTCCAGTAGTTCATCCACTACCAAGCTCCACAGTAGTGGGGAGGTCACTCCACCTTGTGGAGTTCCTTGTGTTGTTTTAACAACTACAGTTTTGGTACCTATCTCAGCCTCTGCTGTTCATGTTGAGAGCATTTCCCAAAACCAGCAAATTATCGTACTGTTCACCCCTCTTGTTTCAAGAGATCGCTTGACCACCTTGTGAGATATATTGTCAAACAAGATGCAATGTCCAAGAAGGCACACAGTGCTGTTTCATTGCTATCCAGGCTTGCCTGTATTAGCTCAGTTAACTGATGCAGAGCAGTTTCTGTGGATCTGCCCCCTCTATATGCATACTGACTATCGTGCAGTGGTTTAACCTGTAGATGATTACTCTAATATGGTTGTCCACTACTTTCTCAATGGTTTTTAATACAAACGATGTAAGACTAATAGGCCAAAATGATTTGGGGTTAGCCCAGTCAGTTTTGCCTATTTTGGGTATGAAGATGACTTTCGCTCTTCTCCAGATGGTTGGTATATATCCCACCGCTAAGCTGCTTCTGTTGTGGACTATGTTAGCATCATCGGCAGATGATTCAAGCTTGAACTTTAATAATTATTTGCTGATGATGCTAACATGGTTAGCGAAACGCGCATCCAATGCAAAAGTAAAGTGTTTTGGTATATTGTAGTGAATTATTGTTTTATTTTGCTGTTGTAATATCATAGGTTCCTAATCCAACGATAATAAAACATATTGTAAAACAATCAGAATCGATTATTCATTTTTTTTTTGAAGATTTGTCAAACAAATTTTATCAAATATCAAGTCTCAGGTTGCAACTAAAATATTCTTGCCGATATTTAATTTGACATGGAATCCATTAACAAAAGTAGTTTTGTGATCACCTCTAAGAGATCTTGACTAACTTGAGAAAATTTACAAAATTAATAGGTATTTTTCATTTCCCACAACATTTAACAACGGATATCTCCGGAACAAAAAGTAAAAATCTCAAAAACCACAATATATCTTCTTTTTTTCTTCAAACTAAAAAATAAAGTGAGTGATTAAATTTTCAACTAATGTATGCAATTGACTGATAATACCTTTACTCGCTAGAAGTTGTAAATATCTTTGAACTAGACTCCCAAAATACACATTTATTTTTATGGATGTTATACTTTTTAAAAATCTAAATATTACAATAACTGTTTTTATAGTATATACTGAATATGAGAATTCTATTTCAAATGATTATAAAAAATACCCCAAGACACTTACCTAAAATTGTTCCTTGAGCTTGACGTTATTGAGATTCGGAAGAGTATCTGAATAGCAGACAAAACACAAGAAGAAAATCTTCTTAAAATTAACTGTTGGGAGATTATTGATTAATAATTATAATATATTTATAACACTTAGGAGTACTTATCTTATACCTTTTAAAAATCCTCAATATCACAATGTCCCCTATATGTTATCTGATGAGATAATACTCTCTTTTCACAATTATTGCTTATTTAACAGAACCCTAAGAACGCTGTAGCTACAAGCAAAGAATTAATCGTATTTCTTCATTTTTAGAGAGCAACCATCCTTCATAGAACCCCATTCGTACCAAGGACAGTACTCTCCCGCCCATGGACATAATAACTTCCACTTCAGGGATGACGATGCCGCCCAACAACTAGCCTACCAGGGTTGGAACTACAATAGAAACACAGGATCCAACATCCAAGCTGAACCTGCAGAACCAAAGAAATCCATCCTGCCTGACTCATAAATATTTGTGGGTTGGGATAGTTTGAGTTTGAAGATAGAGAATAGATAGAATATTTATTTTATATTTATTTTGTGATATTTCATCTAAATGCTTGTAAATATAAGTTAATTGGTATGCCATCAAGATTGTAATACCGGTAAATATTAAATGTAGGTAGTATATAAAAGTATTTAAGATAAACGTATTTGTATAATCTTAAGTTATACTCGTAATATGAAAAACTTTTTTTTACTGAAACATTTGAGTTCACTAGTTGTTTAAATTGAAGAAAACAGTAATAAACTGTAAGGCAATTGAATAGAGTTAATAGCCCTATGTTAGTATTTATATTCTAGTAATTTGTATCATTTATTGTACAATATTTGAATCTGTACATAAAATATAACTATATTTATACTAATTTGTTTAAATAAATCTAAAACAACTGTGTATTGCGAGAAGGAAATATACTGAACTCTGTAACCAAAAATTTGATTGCAATCTTAAATAGAAATAAAATCATGTTACAAAGTATTTATATCTCATATTAAACCTAATAAATATAGGTATTGTTAAAAATAACAGTAAACATTCGAGTATATTTAAAAAAAGATGAACGAAATTATTGCAAAATCTACAGTAAGATTAGCCATGAAAACATCATCAATACGGGAGGAATCAGCAACGATGAACTAGTGATCCTAAAAAAAGAAAAAGGGAAGCAAACGAGGCACGAGACACCATTTGCAACTTGGTTAAGCCGTAGGTCGCTAAGAAACGCCCTCTCGTCGGCCCTGCGTATGCCATTAGTAATGTATCGAGGGCAGAATAGGTTTGGGAAGAAAAAAATATCTTGACTACGGAACATAAGACAGTTTACGGACATGCGTGATCTACAAAAAGAGGGCCGGGCTAAATGGTTTTGGATACTTTGCAAAATCATAATATTGACATTAAAGATTGGCGTGGGCAAGGTTATGATAATGGCAGCAACATGAGCGGGCAATATAAGGGTGTACAGGCAAGAATTCTGGCCATGAATCCCTTTGCCTTGTCTCCTCATAGCCTGAACTTATGTGGTGCCAATGCAGCAGAATGTTGTTCTCAGGCTGTAACTTTTTTTGGAACAATTCAAAAGCTCTTTAATATTTTTAGTGCTAGCCCTTCAAGGTGGGAGAATTAGAATAAAATTGACGCCTCTCTTCATTCCCTTTCTACGACTCGCTGGTCAGTTAGGGTAAAAAGTGTAAAACCAGTAAGCGAAAATCTACCTGGAATAAAAGAGCTATTGGAGCTAAATTTATCAGCAGAAGTACGGGTTGAACTAAATGGAATTTTAACTTATTTGGACTCCTTTGAATGTCTTTTAATGGCTTCATCGTGGCTAAAAGAACTTACCGCTATTAATTATAGAAGTGTTATTCTCCAGGCAGTGTCAGCTACTTTGGACATTGAGACTAAAAATCTAAGTTCATTGCTTCAAGATCTTAATCTTATAAGAAATAGTTGGGCAAATATTTTAAATGAATGTAAACTAGTAGCCAATAATTTAGGAATATCGACCAACCTAACTACATCCGAGAAAAGAAAACGCAAAAGAAAGATTTTTTTTGATGAAACAGTATCAACTGATTCATTAGAAGGGCTTGATGGGGAAGAATATTTTAAAATAAAAGTGTTTTATTCAATTTTAGATGCTGTGATTTCAAATATTTCGACCAGATTTGAAGCAGCTAAAAATATTGTTGACATTTTAGTGTGTTATGGAGATTTTTAAGTTTAGATGATAAAGAAATTGAAGAACAGGCCAATTGTCTTCAAAATCATTACGTCGCTGATATCAATTCACAATTCAAGGAAGAAATAAAACATCTTAAAAAATCTGCAAATTTTCTAGACACTGAAGTCGCCCCATTAAGCCTTTTAAATAAAATTCACAAATTAAAATTGGATTCTTTGTTTCCAAATATAGTAATAGCACTAAGATTACAGTTGAGGGTTGGAACCTTTGGTGTTACACAGCAAAATAAAACACTAAATCACCACAATACACCAAAACACTTTTACTTTTACACTGGACGCGCGTTTCGCTAACCATGTTAGCATCATCAGCAGATGATTATAAACTAAAATACAATCTACAATTGGAGCGTTTATATACTCGCTCAGTGAGCACAGAGTGGTAGAAGGAAAATAAGGTTGTTATATTAGATAAAAAAGACTATTACGATAAGGTTAACAACTTAATCGATAATGGTCCTTACCTAAAATTAAAAAAGAATCCTTTGTCTAAGATGGTAACAGATGTTAAAAAAAACTTTAAAAGAATGTAACAACCTTATTGATTTTTCTTTAAAGAGAAAATTGCAAGTATCCAATCCCTCATTACCAAAATTGTATGCGTTGCCAAATATTCATAAACCGGACAAGTCTATGCGCCAAATTGTTTCGGCTGTAGGTTCTCCGACTTATAATTTGGCAAAATGGTTATCAAGGGAGTTCGAAAATTTACCTAATCATGAACCTTCTTTCTCAGTTAAAAATAATATTGAATTCATAAACAAAATTAAAAATATAACATTGCATGAAGGTGAAATTTTCGTCTCCTTTGATGTATCTTCGTTGTTCCCAAGTTTTCCAATTCCACATACTTTAGGCTACTTGAAGGAATTACTGAACGCAAATGGTCTCGACAACAAAACTGTGATTGAATATATTGAGCTTACATCATTATGTATGAAACAAAATTGTTTTCAATTTAATAACAACTTTTCTGAACAGCGGGAAGGTACAGCAATGGGTAATCCATTGTCTCCATTTTTGGCTAATGTATTCATGAGCAGGTTTGAAGTGGAGATTAAGAATCAGTTTGAGTATTTTCCAAGAGTATGGTTTAGGTATGTGGATGATATTTTTGCTGTTTTTGACACACATTCAGACACCATAGATAATTTTATTTCTAAGTTAAATAATCGTTTTCCTTCCATTAAATTTACACATGAAATTGAGAACAACGACAGATTACCATTTCTAGATGTATTAGTTATTAGAAATACTAATAATTGCCTGGAATTTTATATCTACAGGAAAAATACCACTACACGCAGATATATTCCTAATGAATCATATCATAGTATTGAACATAAAATGGCTAGTTTAAATTTCTTAGTTCATAGATTACTTAGTTTTCCACTTTCCAACGAAAGATATGAAATAGAAAGAGATTACATTAGGAATGTAGCTGAGTGTAATGGATATTCTCCTTCAGTAGTTGATAAAATAATTAGAAAACGTAGGTATAGGTTAATGATTTCTGAAAATTCGACTTTTCAAGTGGAGAAAGATACGTCTAAATATTTTTCAATACCGTTTGAGAGACAGTTATCCCGTAGTATAAAAGGAATTTTTAAGAATGTCAATTATAAACTTGTGTATAGTGCTAATAATAAATTACAACAATTATTAGGTAATCCAAAGGATAAAACACCTCTACTGGAAACGTCGGGTATTTATGAAATTTCTTGCAAAGATTGTAATCAGAAATATGTTGGGCAAACTAGAAGATCAATATTAACTAGATTTAAAGAATATTTAGCTCAGGTAAGATATGGTAGACCTGATAAATCTTGCGTTGCCGAACATATTGTTAATAAAGAACATTGTATAGATCTTAATAACTTAAAATTACTTAAACAAGTCTCAAATTACAGGCAATTAGATGCATATGAAAGCATCAGAATCAATAAATGTAAAGATAGTATGAACACAGACAACGGTCCAATTCCTTCAAGTTCTTTGTTCCAACTACTCTAGTGGCGGAAATCTAACTGTTACGCTCGGTGGGTTCTGACTCGGTTGGCTAGATCTTGCCACGCCCACTCTGTGCCCACTGAGCGAGTATATAAACGCTCCAATTGTAGATTGTATTTTAGTTTATAAGCATCTGCTGATGATGCTAACATGGTTAGCAAAACGCGCGTCCAGTGTAAAATTAAAAGTGTTTTGGTGTATTGTGGTGATTTAGTGTTTTATTTTGAATAGCACTAAGACTGTTTTGTACTCTTCCTGTAACCGTAGTTCAAGCGGAACAATCTTTTAGTTACCTTTGTAGGATAAAACATGTTTTAACATCAACCATGGGTCAGGAACGGTAGAGTGCTCTTGGCATATTAGCTATGGAGTCGAGATTGGCTAGAAACTGCGATTTTTCCAAAATTATTGAAAATTTTGCTTCTGCAAAGTGTCGCAAGGCTCCTTTAAGCCTCACGGCGGCCCTGGGCATACGATACATTACTACATACCATCGGCATTACTAAAAGTTTGAAAAAACTTAGATGACTACACTGCTTTACTCCTAACCTGTTTTCATTGTTCAGTTACTCCTCAGTTTGAAAAATGCCAGTTAGGCCTCTTTGTGAGAAAAACGGTGATATGATTTTCCATTGACATAACAGCCCAGGATGGAAAAGCAAAGCGTACCATTACTAAATGCGGTATAAAATATTCTATAAATGTACTAGAGATTCTAATACCTAGATTATATGACGTTCGAGTTCATTATTGAATTATGGTTTTATTTGACGGATATTCCGAATCAGCACTAACGCATCCGTCAGATGCACTAAATGTCCGTTAGCAAAATTTTACTGTTGGATGCGCTAATGTCGTACGTTCAGACTGCAGGTGTTAAAGCCTTAATTAATAGAATTAATTTTATTGTTGCGGGAATATCCTAGGCGATTTTGTGGCTTTCTGAAGTTGTAATGGTTATATTCTGTAATAGGGGACTCTGGCGCTCGAGAATCAAGGAGTAGAAAGTGATGTAAAAACTCTCACCAAAATAACATTTTGTTTTATTTCGTATAATAGGCAGATGGTTTTTTATTTAACAAGACTGTTCATACTATCTTTACATTTATTAATTCTGATTTGAGACTTGTTTATTTAATTTTAAATTATTAAGATCTATACAATGTTCTTTATCAACAATATGTTTAGCAACGCAAGATTTATCCGGTCTACCATATCTTATCTGAGCTAAATGTTCTTTAAATCTAGTTAATATTGATCTTCTAGTTTACCCAACATATTTCTGATTACAATCTTTACAAGAATATTCATAAATATCCGATCTTTCCAGTGGAGGTGTTTTATCCTTTGGATTTTCTAATAATTGTTGTAATTTATTATTAGCACTATACACAAGTTTATAATTGACATTCTTAAAAATTTCTTTTAGACCACGGGATAACTCTGTATCAAACGGTATTGAAAAATATTTTGACATATCTTTCTCCCCTTGAAAAGTCGAATTTTCAGAAATCATTAACCTATACCTACGTTTTCTAATTATTTTATCAACTAATGAAGGAGAATATCCATTACACTCCGCTACATTCCTAATGAAATATCTTTCTATTTCATATTTTTTGTTGGTCATTTTAGAAGAAGCAAAATATTTTATGAAGAACGCATTTTTCTCAAAATGTCAATG